GGAAAAGCGCTCATAAATCTTCAGTATCCTTAAAGGATACCATGGTTCTATGGTGATAGGTCAAGAAAAATAGTATTTATGCCCATTAGAATGGCAGTTCATAGATAGGCTGCTGTTTGGCTTTTGCTGTTAGAATCCTTGGCAGAAACTCAGACAGATGTATCAAAGTTGCTAGAATTAACACTGAAAGCTATTAATCAAAAATAAAATCGCTACAGCTTTTATTTTTAAAAAATATTCCGTATGTTTCCTGATATATTCTGTCGGGAATACAATGTACATATGCATGATCTTTTTAAAGTGGGCGTAAATAATAGCTGGGTAAGCTGGAATTACTTGAGAAAAAAATGAACTTTTTTAGTTTTTAAGGTTTGGTGTTTTTTTTTTCTCCCTACTATTTGGCATATCTTTGTTTCAAAAATGGTAGAAATAGGGACTCTACTCATGCCTTTTAGTTTCACTTGCATCTTCATTTGTAATTTCATCATACATTAAAGCAAAACCGAATCTCAAATTTTTCAGGACTGAAATATTTACCACTTATCACCTTCGATTCAGAGTTTTCAACACAGCCTTTCGCACATAGTTTTCAACAGCCAAAATCATAATTCTCCTGTTTTTCAGGGGAGTCAATGGTCAGAGACAGGCTCAATTTACCTTTAAAGCAGGTAAATTGAGTTCCTTTTTTCAGCAGTCCCAGTCTGATTCTGCACAGGGACAGCCCACGCTGGGGGTGAGGAAGGAGGAATATTCTCCCCACTGGCTGTGGAAATATTCAGTGAGCCACTAGCTCAGCTGAGACGAGCTCAAAAGAACTGCCTCGAGGCCCAATCCTGCATTTGACAACCTCCATGTGTGAAAAAAAACCTGTGCTGTTATGTTTTTGGGGGCACAATTGCTCTGCTAAGCCTGCAAGCTGCTGATCAAACCACACTGTGGTGTCACCTGAGCATCAGAAGAGGCTTCTGACTGTAGATGGCACTGCAAGGTGTGTCTATTTGCTGTGGAGATTTGATTCTCTTGAGGTTTATCTCCCAAACACACTGCTGCAAGGTGTGTCTATTTGCTGTGGAGATTTTATTGAGGTTTATCTCCCAAACACCCTGAAATCAGCGTTTGGAAGATTAAAAAACCTCAAGAGAGATTTTTAAGACCTTACAGAAAGAAGTAAGGCAAGGCCAGAGGAGACTGAGCTGGAGGTGACATCAAGGGGATGCCATGCTCTCTTTGCCAACATACTATTTAATGCAGGGCTATCCCATTTTGGGAACCCACACCACTGACAGCAGTGGTGGGTCTCTCCAGAGATGGTCAGGAGTGGTGACTCCAGCTGCTGGTGGCATCCTTGGGTCACTTAACTGGAGCAAGGCAACCCAGATCCCCAGGGGCCACTTCAGCTGGGAGCTCACCGCATCTTCATTTCCTACTTCCCAAGGGAACTCTCAGGTAGATGGAGCAGACTTCAGGGAGTCCCTGAACTTCACCATCCCCCTTTCCCCAAATTTGATCCTCAGACTTCTCCAGGTTTTCCTCAGACGGCGTTGGTATGTGGAACTGAGTAACCCCATCTCTCTGAGTAAGAGGATAGGCTTTCTTAAAGTAAGCAGCACATACTTCTAATAAATTTGGAGATACTTTACTGCTGTAAGAATGCTTCTTTTGAGTGTGTGGCTATCTGACAAATAAATAGTAGTCTTGGGTTTTTTTTGCAAGCCTTCCCTACTAAGAGGGAATACACTGAATCTTCCTCTATTAGTTCTGTAATACTAATTTCCCAGTGTTTTGTCATCTTTTGATGAAAAGAGAAAGATCATGAGGAACTCATTTAGTATCAGCAGAAGGTAAGCCTGGAGCAGATTAATTTTTTCTTCAGCAGAGAGTATTAACTGCTGCCAATAAGAATTATTACTCAAGGCTCTAGAGGATATTGGTAATAATTAGGCCAGCTAAGGCACATAAATAGAAATGTGATGGGGGAAGTCTGTCACTTGACACTTAGTATAGCTGAAAAGGAAAAAATTAATTATTTTCATTTTTGATATACAAACTGAACTTGTTGTTACTGGCTGATAAAAGTAACTACCATCTTCTTTCAACATTCAGAATCAATTTCAGAATTCTGTTACGAGATCGTTACGGTGATAGCATAGAGTGCAGAACACATTTTTTCCTTTCTGGTGCTTACATCTTCTCCTCTAATTCCTCCATTACCCTCAGTCTGGTGCAGCAGACAAGGCGGGGAACTTTACCTCAATATTTCTGGATGGGTAGGATCCACAGGTCACCAGAAAGCTCCCTAATGGGGTAGTGTCCTCCCTAAGGCCTGGATTTATCTCCCCTAACCTTAAATGAGCATACACAGTTGGAGCACAGTCAATCTATAACCCTTCAACAGCCAATGAACTGAGATGCAGACAAAAAATACACTCCGTGGGCTAATTAAGACTCTCAGAATTGATGTTCCTCCTCAAATTCTGAAGATGGGTTAAGTATACTTGTTTTTCATGTGCTGGTCTTTCAATTCTTTGAGGGATTTTTGACTTAAAGTCTAGAGCTGCTATACAAAATAGCAACAGCGGTCAGAGACACATTTTTTTCCTATAGGATAATTGCATATTTATTTGTGATAATTCAGACCTTTTCACCACAGACTGAAAAAAAAAAAAGAAAAAAAAGATGAACAGTCCCTAACTCTCAGGCACATCCCTAACTTCAGGAACTCACAAATCTGGTTGTTGGACTACCTAATTAATAAAGACTCTTCAGTGACTCATTTCTGGGTTTTCATCTCTACTGCCTGTGATTTCTTCTTTAAAGGGTTAAAATAGTATATTTTTCTGCAACAATGTTGTCATTTTCCACTGGTAAAAACCAAACCAAAACAAAACTAGTAATGTAAACAGAGGCTGGAGTCAACTTGTTTGAGCTATTTTTGTTTTACAATGTTACCTTATCACGTCAACAAATCTCTGCAAATCAAACTACATCATCCTGAATCTGTGAATGGTATTCATTAGTTTGCTGCTTTTGCAGAGACAGCACAAGATACCAGGAATTTCTATTACTGGCCTATGAGTTGGGGACAATTAGAAATCCTGAACAATAAACAATAAATAAAATAGTTAATTTCTTATTTTTCCATAAAAATATTAAACGTCCTGCAAAGGAGATCAAATTCTTGCACAGAAACCCATTGCTTAAAGCCTTTGGTTGCCCTGTCAAGGTCTTGGCTGACTCAGACTCCTCACTCCTATTAATGACTCAGTATTTTTTTCCAACTTTTCTGTGTCCTTTGCCGTAGTCTTCTATTCTTTACAGTAGTTATTTTGTATGAAAGAGCTGAGGAGCAGCCCAGCTTCTTAAAAATTCTTTTTCTCATACAGAATCTATTCATGTTGTCTTGGGCCTTGTTCTACTTTAAGCCTCTTGATCTTTTCCACTGCGCTGTTTACCTCTCCCAAGGATGCCCGTCCCAGCTGTTCACCTGGATTTATTATTGCACAAACAAGCACTATTTGCAACTGACTTCAGTTGTATTTGGACCTTCTTATCTCCCTGGACAGTCATTAATGTCCTTAGGCCAGCTGGCAGCATTCTTGGAGCAAGGCCGCTTCTGAGATGTGCTTGTGACTAAAGCAGAAAGAAGCCATCGCTAGAAAAAATAATGCATAAATAAATTTCACCTAGCATGCAGGGTTAGTTCCAGCAGTGAATGGCTGCTGGCAAACCAAACATTTTTACAGTGAAATACAGAAAACAGATTGCCCAATTCCCATTAACTGGATCAGATGGCACAGGTAAAAATGCCTGAGATTTGCCTACATACAATTTCTACCCTGTTTTCCCCAAACTGAACTGCTGCTGAAGAACACACGTAACTTCTTACAGCTTCGAAGGTTCTGTGGTTTAAAAAATAGGTAAATTGTTTTACAGTCCTTTAATGTTTGCACCACACAGGGGATACAATTGTGGCTTTAAAGAAACACACACAAACTCTGGCCATTGGCATTAATATATTATTAATATATTTCCTTATTTCGGAAAAAGTGATGTGTGACTTTTTTTACTCTGTATTTTACAGTAGGTACTGCTTGTTTTGCTTCTTAGCTTCCCACCTTAAAATGCCAGACCCTAATCCTGTTCCAGATTAATCTGTAATCTGTACCAGCTATTACATCACCCAAGACATTAATTAAGAAGTAGAACTGAAGCAAGCCCTCATGGAGTTTGCTTCCAACACACATTAAGTGAGTAATTATTTTACAAGGGCAGTTTTTCCAATCCTTGTGCACGTACCAACTTTCTTTATGAGACTGCCCTCTCGGTGACAAAAGTCTCACAGAAACCAAGCTGCCTATGATTCTCTAAATTAGGCCACTTGCTCTGTCAGAAATCACATTTATAAGACAATCTGCCTCCATACAGCCTTCTTGATGCTTTCTCTCATTATTTGTATGGGATTGTGGCCGAGATTTTAGGGTGGGTTGTTTTTTTTTGTGTGTGTATGGTTGAACTTGGTGATCTCAGATCCTCAGGATCCTCTCAGATCTCGGGTCCTTTCCAACCACGACGATTCTGTGATTATTTGCTAGAAACCTGCAGGCCTATTATTCAACTCTTTGCTTTCCACTCCTCCTGGAGAGGTGCTGCTTTGCCAGAAACCCTCCTTCACGGCCGCCCACGCCGCTTCTCTCGCCGGGGCTGACAGAAAAAGGCAGGGAAACACCACCTTTTTCCTCACGATTTCCAGCCCCTTCCCTCCCCCGCCACACGACGGGGCTCCTCAGCCCCTCACACCTGCGGCCGCCATTTTGGTTTAACCCCCCGCGCGCCGCGTCACGGCAAGCCCCCGCCCCCCTTCCTGCCCCCCGTCAGTCAATCCGGGCTCCTCCGTGAGAGAGCGGGGGGCGGAGCTTAGGCGGCGGCCGCAGCCAATGGGCGCGCGAGGTGCGGCGGGCGGCGGGACCAATCGGCTGCTCGCTTCTTCGGGGGTGCGGCTGCCGCTGTCCCTGCGCCCCGCTGTGAGCTGCTGGTACCGGCTGTCGCCGCCGCCGCTGCCGCCTGAGGTGTCTCGGTAGCCGCCGCAGCCTGGCACTGCCCCGCTGTCACTGAGGATGAGCCCTCGCGCTGCCCAGCGCCCGTCCCGCCCTGCCCGCCCGAGTCCATTCATCTAGCGACTGGTGAGGGGCGGGCCGCGACCTGCTGATGTGTCCGGAGGGGGAGCCGGGCCTGCGGGAGGGGCTGGCCCCGCCGGTGGGGACGGGACAGCGGCGGCGGGGGGCTGTAGGAACGGGGATTGCCCCGGGAGGGAGAGTCAGGGAGGGTAAAGAGCAGCCGGCCACGTAGGATGGGAGGGAACCGGCTTCGAAGCGGAAGAAAAGTGCTTCGGTCGCCCGTTTTGTGAAGTCTCTTCGGTTGCTGGTCGCTTCCTGGCTACGTGGACTTGTGTAGTGAGAGTCCAAACAGCCACCTACTCCCCTGCCTGCCCCTCGTCTGTGCCTGGCTTTTTGAAACACTTCAGACCTTCCCACCCGCTTGACACTGGCAGCAGCCTCTGCCAGGTTTCCTTAGTTGGAGATTCCTGGGCAGCCTGTCGTGTTTCTGGCCTTCTTGGTGATGGTTGTCTGTGGCTTTTGATAGCAGCTCACAGTGTTTGCTGGCATCGAGCAGCAGCTTAACCATGAGAGAGCTGAAATCTTGTAGTTAGTTTAAAAGGATATTTCTGTGCAGTCCTTTTAGGGACCAGCCACCTGATTTCTGAAATCCAGCCCTTTTTTTTGCTGACGTGGTCACTGTAGTTGCCTGTCTTCATGGAAACTGACCACAGTTTGTGGTTTACAAAAAACAATAATCACCCAACGACATCTGGTGTGGGTTCTCTTTAATAATACTGTACCAGGAGTTCGGAGTTCATTTGGAAAAGTCAGCTTTTCCTAGGACTTGATGTATTATCTGATACATTTTTAAATACGGTGAATTTCTTGAACACATTTGTGGTTCGTTGCTCCTGACTTATTTTCAGGTTATCTGTTTCAATAAAAAAAAATCTAGAGCAAGGTCCCAGTGTCTTGTGGAAATGCCTTTAACTGCACTCGCTGTACTTTTGTCTATACTGCTCTCTGTATGTTTTAATTTTTTGGCACAACATTAGGTTTTTAAAAGTAAGTAGTTTTGACTGTTCCTAGATAAGCCAAGCACAGTATTTCACAGTATACTGTTTATGTACTGTGATTCCTGACTAATAGATCCGCTCTGACGTGTTGTAGCTGAATTTAGCTACCAATTTGGTGGGGTTTTTTTGACAGGCGTGTCTGCCTTTAATTGGCAGTACTCGTTAGCGCTGTTAGGAGCACATGGATTAGAGTTGCTGGATCACTGAATGTCTCGTCCTGATGAGGATTATGCTGCTATCCTTGCGAAGGCAGAAGTTTTAGAAAGTCTGGGGAGAACCTCTAAAGGTCACCCGTGCCAAGCGGTGGCAGAGAGGCCCCAGCCCAGTAAATGAAGCAGCTTGATGATCTGCTGTGGCCCAGGGGACATAGCAGGTGTGGTGGATTGTGGTGTTTTTTTAAAGCAAGGTGGTTTTCCTCTGTAACTTCAATTCTAGGCAGGTCTTGAACAGGTTGGTTGTTCTCTAGCCCTTTTTGAGAGCCTCGCTAGCATTCGGTTTATCATTTGAAAGTGTTTACTGATATATATTCTTAGTCTCCCATAACATTTGAACAAATGACTATTTATCTCATGGGGTCAGGGGTAAGTGGACTAGAGTATTGATTTTTTTTCTTCTTCTTTATGTAGCAGCTGCCTTATTCAAAGGCTCTGGGTGGTTTGTAGAAAACACAGCTGAAGGAGAAAATAGATCCAGTTTGCTCAGCCTTGCTCAGGGTTGTTTTGTAAACCTTCTGAATCCTAATTGCTATTTCCAAAGTTTTCTTCTGCTTGTGTACTTCCCTTAAAACTTGGTGTCTGAACTGGAGGCAGCACTGTACCTGATGTTTTGTGTGTTGAAAAGGGCAGAACCCTTGCTTTCTGTTCCTTCTATTGCAATACTCTTGTAATATGGTTGAGAAGCTAATTTTTTTAAAAGACTCTGTCTTTTAAAAGAATTATGTGGGGATTTCTGACTGCTGTGTAACTTAGATTTACCCTTTTTTCATTGTATATTCAATCACTCTTCTCCTCATAAAATATATCATGTATTCAGATAATATTGCTCAAGGGCTTGAATAGTCCAAATTTATGCCCAGACTTCAACAAATGTGCAGGGAGTTTCTGAACAGGTTAAACTATCTGTGGATATGTAATCTTCTGAGTAGAAATTGGTAGTCTACCCCTTCTTTAAAGCCTTGGACGATATGCTGCTTATAGCTCAAGGCTATGTTTGCTGTTATTTATCTAGGAATTCATCTATGTTCCCTTGAGGATATGTTGCTTAATGCCAGTGCTGTATTTATTATATTACTACCCAGCTTCAATTTGCTAGTTGCTTTTGTCAGATTATAAACTACTACTTTAAAATGTATTAGTGAAAGTTGCCTCTAGGTAAGACTCTGTCAACAGAAAATCCTGGAAAATCAGTAATATGCTAGCAAATTCCTGTGGCTTTAATTCTGTAACCTTTAGATGATTTCTAGCAAATTCCTGTGGCTTTAATTCTGTAAGCTTTAGATGATTTTTTTTTTTATTAGCTTACTAATCAAGTAGTCTGCATGGTGAAGTTTGTTTTGGGTACAACTATTTTCAGGATTTCCGTGCTGTTATGGTTACAGGTCTTTTGTGATGTTATGAAACAAGTGCAAATGGACCAACTTGGCGAGTATTATGAAATGTCAGCATGCCTGTTTAAAAAACATTCTCCCTTCCATTCCATCCTGATAACCTTTAAGAGCTTGCAATACCCTTCTAAGGGTGGACTTAACCTTTCTGAATTGTATGATGTTGCCAGTCAGATCTCTCTTCATTTAGCAACTTATTGTCAAAAAGGAAGAGCAAATGAATTTTGCACCTTCTGAAAAGCTGTATTATTTATGCTTTTTTTTTTTAAGTAGGGGTATTAGGATTAACAAGGAAAACTCTAGGCTTCTTTTACATGGAAAGTAGAAACCATTATTTATTTCTGTTTTAGGAGACCCAAATGTTAGGTAGTTTTTCACCAAGTGCATCCTAGATGTAACTGGTATTTAGAAAAAAATCAGTTCAACTTAAAAAAAACCCAAACAACCAAACAAAAAATCTCAACAGCAAAACAGTGAATGGAATGAGGTTATGCCAATTTAAAAATCAGATAAGGTCTTGAGAAATATTTTTGTAGTAAAACAGCTTAAAGCTGCATTTCAAGCCCATGTCACTAACAGTTGAGTTACTTTAATGCAGCACACAATAAGGTCTTGAGAAATATTTTTGTAGTAAAGCAGCTTAAAGCTGTGTTTCAAGCCCATGTCACTAATTTGACAGTTGAGTTACTTTAATGCAGTGCATGTGGAAGATGCAAAATCAGCATCTGTCCTCAAGTGCTACTGAATTCTAACTATCTGAATCCCTTGGGTTTTCTCTTTCACTTGCATGCGAGACCACAACAGCAGCTACAAGCCACTGCCTTGGTACTGGTATCCACATCCATGTTAGCCAGATTTTGCTAGATCTAGTCTGAGTAAAGGCTTTCATCAGGAAGAATCTGAAAGACCACAGATAGGAATTCCAGTATCAAACACGCGCACCTCCCGGATTGGCAGTTTCAATACATGTTTCTGGCATCCAGCCATTTGGTAAGGATTGGTTACTGTCCCTCTTCTGAGAGCACTCACAGCAGCTACAAGCCACTGCCTTGGTACTGGTAGCCACATCCATGTTAGCTGGATTTTGCTAGATCTAGTCTGAGTAAAGGCTTTCATCAGGAAGAATCTGAAAGTCCTTGTACCTTTGAGGCAAGAGCATGCAACCTCTGTAGAAATACTTCCCATTAAAAAAGAAAATTGGGAATGCATTTGTGGAGAACATGATCCTACAGATGTGGAAACGAGCAGTCTCGTATTTTCCTTTATCCTGTAGCTTGCAATGCCTCTGTGCTAAACATCAGGATTCTGGGCATTACCAGATTTGTGCTGAATGTGCTCTCCCATCCAGCCTGGCCTTGAACCCTTCCAGGGATGGGGCAGCCACAGCTTCTCTGGGCAACCTGGGCCAGTGTCTCACCACCCTCACAGCAAAGAAGTTCTTCCTGAGATCGCATCTAAATCTCCCCTCTTTCAGTTTAAAACCATTACGCTTCATCCTATCACTCTATTCCCTGATTGAGAGTCCCTCCCCTTGTACCTTGTACAAGTCTTTGTACCTTGGAGGCAAGAGCATGCAACCTCTGTAGAAATACTTCCCATTAAAAAAGAAAATTGGGAATGCATTTGTGGAGAACATGATCCTACAGATGTGGAAACAAGCAGTGTGGTATTTTCCTTCATCCAGTAGCTTGTAATGCCTCTGTGCTAAACATCAGGATTCTGGACATTGCCAGCTTTGTGCTGAATGTGCTCCACTTTCATTGGGTTTGTCTTCTGAAAGATAGTGACTAAGAAACAGATATGTAGCAGGGGGTCCTGAAGCTGCCCTGTTATCATCTCTTTCTTCTGGCTTAATTTTTGTGAGATTTCAGGTTACCAGAAAAGAATTGATGATATATTTTTTTTTATCTATTCTGGGAAGTGTCTTGGATAATAAAAATAAACAGAACCCTTGGACTTGAAGACTACTAACTCACCCTTGTAAGCAGCTTTGATAGGCAGAGAGATTTCTGGAGCTCCTCAGTGGGAAGCTTCTGCCAACTCTGTTTGGTTTTCCCCATAATTGAACAGAATCTCATGGTTTCACATCTGCTCTCTGCAGGAAATGAAATCTACCATCATCATCCGTAGTCATTAAGGTATTTGTTAGCTTAGTCTGACAGATATGTAGAATATGAATTAATTTCATACTGGAGAGGTGTGACAGCTTTGATATTAGGCTTTTAGTGACTTCTTGAAAGAAATGGAGGTTTGTTTGTTTTTTTTTTTTGAGATAACCACAATAGTTGGAGAGCTTCTTTTTCAGCTGTAGGAGTTCTGACTCCATGAAGTTGGATGACACATCTGAGATGTTCCTCCTTGGAGGGTGTCTGACAGCTGTTGTGTGGTGGTGCTTTGCCCCCTTGGAGGGGAAGAGCTGAATAAAAGGGCTCTACCCGCTCGTTCCAGGAGGCAAGATACCACAAACACGTTCTTGCTACTTAAGAATTGCTTCCAAGTTGGTTGTAATCTTTTAAATTTTCCTCGGCTGTGAACATGCATAATAAGTAATTTGTGTCTCTAAGGGAAAAATTAGAAATCCACTTGCTACTGAAATAAAACATCTTTGGGAGACTCTGATTAGTGCTCCAGTTCCTCCATTTTTTGGTGACGTTTTTCTACCATGAAAATGTTTGTTAGGGGCAGTTTTTAAAAAGAATTTGAACTCCCGGTGATACCTATTGTATCATAAAAATGTGTAAAACATGATAATTTATGTCTTTCACTAATTACAGCATTAGGAAGACACTGGTATTATAATGTGAATATGATTAGTGCTGAGAAGCCTACAGAAGTATCTGCAAATAAAAACGGAGGTGCATAATCATAAAGGCACTGTTTTTTAGACATTCAAATGCAAACTTTAAAATTGTAGTGCTGGTCCTATTTTGTGCTTATTTTAGGTGCTGATTATTCAGCTGGGATTCCATATACTAGAAGTAGGCATTTGACCAGCAATCACAGGTTTTTCACACGGATGTGATCAGCAGTTCACAATTTTAAAGTTTTAAGGTTTCACTGAAGGACCTAGATTGTATTTAAAAAGTGTCAGATCTGATTGTTAACCCTTTTCAGATGTTCTAATAACATGATATTGTGTGTTACTGGTGTGCAGTCTTTACTGTAGAGGGGTGCAAACTTGATCTACAGCTTTCTGTCTCGAAACTCAAGGTGTATATATCAATGTACTAATATAGTATCTAGTGTGGTAATGTTTATAGTGAAGGAGGGCTGGGTTAGAATGACTTACAAAGAAATAATTCAGCAGAGTCAGATTTCACATAGCTGCAGTAAATGTCACCACAATGAAGCTAGTGTGAGGTTGACAGGGTTGTACTTCTATATAATAGCAAACTTTTTATTTTTTTAATGTCTATTTTGTTGCCCCATGGTATTTTCATGTTTGGTGAGGCCTGACCTCAGGTGCTCTAAAGAAGTTTTTATTTGGGCTCTCTGTTCCTTTCTTGTAATGGCACAATTTTCTGTGGAGCCAGGGTTTGTTTTCTACTGAATCCTTTTCTCCTGCAATTCAGTGTCTTAAATAGGTGTGGACTGAAGAAGGGAAGGTCTGGCATGGGGCACGGCAGGACTGTTTCCTTGGGTGGTGGTGCCATTTCATACCAGTTTACCAAACAGATCAGTCAACTTTATTTTATGACTCCTCTGATTATTGTTTCTTTGTTCCTTTTATTTTTACTTTTCTTTCTTTGTAGCACTAATAGCAACATCTTAAATACTAATTATGTTTAAGGTAGGCTTTACAAGATGTATGTAAAATTCCTATTTCTTCCACAGCATAGTTTTACTGCCTGGTGGCATATTGATAAAATGTGACAAATTGCACCACCTTCTGATGTTTTTCCCATAGATCTCCAAATATTTTTATTTTTTTTAAAAGGTATTGCTATTCAAAAGGGCAAGTATAGGGTGCCATGGTGGCATATTGATAAAATGTGACAAATTGGTTTGAAGATAATAACCTTCTGATGTTTTTCCCATAGATCTCCAAATATTTTTATTTTTTTTAAAAGGTATTGCTATTCAAAAGGGCAAGTATAGGGTGCCACACCAGGGGAGGAATAACCCCCTGCACCAGGACAGGTTTGGGGCTGACCTGCTGGAGAGCTATGAAGATGATGAGGGGCCTGGAGCATCTCTCTGATGAGGAAAGGCTGAGGGACTTTGGTCTTTTTGGTCTTGAGAAGGCTGAGGGGGGATCTGGTCAACACCTATAAATAATTCAAGGGTGAGTGTCAGGAGGATGGGGCCAGGCTTTTTTCAGTGGTGCCCAGGGACAGGACAAGAGGGAACGGGCACAAAATGGAACATAGGAAGTTGTATCTAAACCTGAGGAGGAACTTCTTTCCTGTGAGGGTGGCAGAGCCCTGGCGGAGGCTGCCCAGAGAGGTGGTGGAGTCTCCTTCTCTGGAGACATTCAAACCCACCTGGACACGTTCCTGTGGGACCTGCTCTGGGTGACCCTGCTCTGGCAGGGGGTTGGACTAGGTGATCTCCAGAGGTCCCTTCCAACCCCAGATCATTCTGTGACTCTGTGAAACATATTTAATTTTTGCAGTGCTAGCAGAAAAAGATTTCAGCTGAAAGTAGCCTATGACCAGATAAACAGAAATGCCATATGCCCCAGACTGTGAATATATTTTCATGAATGAGAATTTGTATCTTTGCCTCCTTTTCCTCCTTCTTCCTCACTTGTCAACCCCAGATCATTCTGTGACTCTGTGAAACATATTTAATTTTTGCAGTGCTAGCAGAAAAAGATTTCAGCTGAAAGTAATCTATGACCAGATAAGCAGAAATGCCATATGCCCCAGACTGTGAATATATTTTCATGAATGAGAAATTGTATCTTTGCCTCCTTTTCCTCCTTCTTCCTCACTTGTTCCTTCCAACCTAGACCTTCATTTCTTCTTGCTTATTTCAGGAGCTTTAGACCTTTGCCCTGAGTTTGCATTGCCTGTCTGAACTCACAACTCTTATAAAGTTGTTTGTTTTTTTTCTTTGCTGTGCTGCCATCCTTGCCTCCCTCAGCAGGGAGATGGGTAGGCATTCAGGCCAGGGAAGGAAAGTAAAAAAAGGAAAAAAAATCATTTTTTTCGGTGGCTAAAGGAAACTGGTGGTCCCTTCCTCCTTCTGGGTGTGACTGACAAAGCTTCTGTTAGTCACAATCTACTCTACAGGTGTGGGAGATTTTTGGTGGGTGGGTGGTTTGGTTTTTTTGTTTTGTTTTTTTTCTACAGCAGTCTTTTAGTTCAGTCCTCACCTTCTGATCACAACGTAATGATGTAATTACACAGTAAGCTATGAGGGTCCGTTTTTTTCGGTGGCTAAAGGAAACTGGTGGTGCCTCCCTCCTTCTGGGTGTGACTAACAAAGCTTCTAACAATCTACTCTACAGGTGTGGGAGTTTTTTGGTGGGTGGGTGGTTTTTTTTGGTTTTTTTTTTTCTTCTTGTTTTATTCTCCTGAATTTGTTTTTTTTTTTTCCTCCAGCAGTCTTTTAGTTCAGTCCTCGCTTTCTGATCACAAAGTAATTATATAATTGCACAGTAAGCTATGAGGGTCCTAAGGACCCTAAGGCTGGGAAAGCAAACATCTATTTTTTTTTCTCTCTTCAGTTTACTTTTTTGGATCCAGTTCTCTTGTTAGCCTCAAAGATTTCTGTCAAAGAAAGGGAGGAGGTGCCTTTGGAGGTTTGGGTGGGGAATGGAGTCATGTCTTTTTTAAACTGACTGAATCCCTGAGTGTAAGCTCTGGCACGGGGCAGGTCACTAAACCCTCGTCCTTTTTTTGTTTTTTTTTTTTCCTCCAGCAGTCTTTTAGTTCAGTCCTCGCTTTCTGATCACAAAGTAATTATATAATTGCACAGTAAGCTATGAGGGTCCTAAGGACCCTAAGGCTGGGAAAGCAAACATCTATTTTTTTTTCTCTCTTCAGTTTACTTTTTTGGATCCAGTTCTCTTGTTAGCCTCAAAGATTTCTGTCAAAGAAAGGGAGGAGGTGCCTTTGGAGGTTTGGGTGGGGAATGGAGTCATGTCTTTTTTAAACTGACTGAATCCCTGAGTGTAAGCTCTGGCACGGGGCAGGTCACTAAACCCTCGTCCCATTGCTCCTGTACTTACAAACACTAGTTTGATATGCTTTTTAATTGGTACAGTTGCTGGGGAAAAGAATTTTTGTTGACTAATCTGTTCTGGTTTGTTCTCTTTCAGGTCTCCCTTGCAATTATGGAGTTTTAGAAGAACAAGGTAGTGTGGAGGGGGAATCCCCCTCTCCACACTTGAGGTAGTTCACTTTTGGAATTTTCTATGGACAAGAATATTTGTTATATAAGATGGTGAAATAAGACTTCTAAAAATATATATTTATAAATATTTATTTGGATCAAGTGCCAAACATAGCAGTACAAAAATTTCAAATGGCAGCTCAATAAAACTGGATTTACATCCTTGGAATTACAAGTTTTTGAAGGCACTGTGTTGTGTACTGAATTGGAGTGCCTTGATACCCTTAAGGGTTGTTCCCCTTAAGAAGAGGAGCAGCTTCAGAAGTGAAGATGAGTTCTCTCATGCCAGACTGCACTTCCAAGTGTCGATCTCTGCAGCATGCTCTGGATGTGATTTCTGTGGTAACCAGAGGAAGTGAAGGCCAGATCAAGGCCTTTCTCTCTTCTTATTGCTACAACGCTGCAACTATCAAGGATGCCTTTGGAAGAAATGTTATACATCTTGCTTCATCTTGTGGCAAAAAAGGTGTGCTGGACTGGTTGGCTGAGACCAAAGGAGTAGATCTCTTGGCGAAAGACAAAGAGTCTGGATGGACAGCTTTGCACAGAAGTATATTTTATGGATACATTGATTGTGTTTTGTCATTACTGAAGGTGAGTCCTTTAGAACTGTAGTTTCAGTTGGTATATACAATTTTTAGTGTTGTACTCGTTATGTCAAAGTGGGGTTTTAAACTTGTGTGAAAGCCTCTTGAGTGTTGTCTTAATGCTGTGTTTAGATCACAGTGCATGGATTTACTTGAAAGTTGTCTCTATGTTCATAAAAGATCTCTGCCTTTGCCCACGTAGAAATCATCACCGAGTAAGGATCCCTGCTTAATTGTGGACTTCCATGAAGACTGGTTTGTGTGGATGATATCAGGGTCAGGATCTTAAGAGCAGAGAGTGATCAGACTAAAGATACTCTAAAAATAGACTCTTCAGTACTTAGACCGATTTTTTTAGCAAACATAACAAAATAAAAGCTTAAATGGAGTTCTAATTAGAAATTAAAATCACATTTGAGAGATATTCACTTTGAGATATGGAACAATTTATTAAGTGAATCCTCCTTTCATTCATATTCTAACCAGGCCTTTTGCTCAGTCCCCCTTATTCCTTTCTTGCAATTGGTGTTTCTTCCCTACCACTTAGCAAGTTGTGTATATTTTTTGATTGCTTGTCTGTTCCTCCTGTCCCAAGTACAGCAAAGGGAAGAAGCTACATATGGTTGAGATCATCAGGGTCCCTTTAACCACGTGAGAAAATGAAATATTTGTGGTTCAGAGTTACTTAAAAGCAAACTTTTCAAGGCAGAGGATTTCCCATTTTGAGTTCAACCTTTTTAAATTGGAGTGCAATTGTAAGCATTAAACTCTCTGCTTTCAACAAGCAGTTTGAGCAAAATGATTGTGAATCCAGTAGTTTTAAATTCTTTAAGGCCTGCTATCTGTGAAATAGATATTTTGTGTAATGTACTTTTGCATAGTGAGGAGGTTTTCATTCAACTTCACAAAAGTAGGTGTTTGAGAATTGTACGTGATTCTGTTTTCTAGAAAACTGTAAACTGTATGTGATGTACAGACAGTGAATTCACTTCTTGTGTGTGTATATCTGTATCTTTTGATATTTGCTTATAGGAGGCCTATACATGTTTCCCCCACATGTAATTTACTTTTCTGTCCATTGCATAAGTGAGTGAGGTTTTTCTGCTCTGCTGGTATTCCTCTAAGAAGCAGAATGAAATAGCTCATGGAGACTGCTCTGCCTCCCACTTCCTTAACTGAAGTCTCACTGCTGTACTGCATTACAGAAAGGTATTACAGCAACAACAGGAAGGGATTAGAGAACAGAATTATGAAATAGCTGAGCTAGAAACACATCTCTGAAGATTGTCTGTTCCAACCCCCATGCTAAAGTGAGGTCAGCTAGAGCAGGTTACCCAGGATTGTCCAGTTGGATTTCTTGAATGTCTGCAGGGATGGAGACTCTCCGTTCCAGTGTTTTAATACTAGTCCAGTAAAAATGGTTTTTAGTTTTAAACAGAATTTCTTACGTTTTAATTTGTGTCTATTGGATATTGCTGGGATCCCCACTCCCCATCTCCAGTCAGGGATTTATTATGCACATTGATCATTGAAACACATCTCTGAAGATTGTCTGTTCCAACCCCCATGCTAAAGTGAGGTCAGCTAGAGCAGGTTACCCAGGATTGTCCAGTTGGATTTCTTGAATGTCTGCAGGGATGGAGACTCTCCGTTCCAGTGTTTTAATACTAGTCCAGTAAAAATGGTTTTTAGTTTTAAACAGAATTTCTTACGTTTTAATTTGTGTCTATTGGATATTGCTGGGATCCCCACTCCCCATCTCCAGTCAGGGATTTATTATGCACATTGATCAGACATGTCACAGAATCACAGAATCATCATGGTTGGAAGGGACCTCTGAGATCATAGAGTCCAACCACAAAAAAACAACAACAAAAGAACAACAAAAAACCCCAACAACACACACAACACCCCACCACATCACACCCACCCACAAACCAATAATCTTGGGCACTAGAGCATGCCACCCACCCTGAACCGTCTCTAGGATAAATATCCCAGCTCCCTCAGCCTCTCCCTGTGTGTCAGATGCCTCAGTCATTATTGTCATGGTCTTTTGCTGGACTTGCTCCTGTAGGTCTACTCTGTGGCACTGGGGAGTACAGACCTGAACACTCCAGCTAGGGCTTGCCAGTGCTGAGTAATGCCTGCTGGCAACGCTCCCTCATGCAGCCCTGGATGCTTTCACCATTCTTAGCTGCGAGGATACACTGCTGGCTTGTGGTCAACTGGTTGTCCATCAGGAGCCCCAGGTCCTTTTCTGCCAAGCTGCTTTCCAGCTGTATCGGTACAGTTGGCTGTTCCTCCCTAGGGCCAGGATTTGCAGTTCCCTATGTTGAACTTCATGAGGTTCCTCTCAACCCCATTGCTCCAGCCTGTCAAGGTCCTTCTGAATGGCAGCACAACCCTCTGGACCAAAGGAGTAGATCTCTTGGCGAAAGACAAAGAGTCTGGATGGACAGCTTTGCACAGAAGTATATTTTATGGATACATTGATTGTGTTTTGTCATTACTGAAGGTGAGTCCTTTAGAACTGTAGTTTCAGTTGGTATATACAATTTTTAGTGTTGTACTCGTTATGTCAAAGTGGGGTTTTAAACTTGTGTGAAAGCCTCTTGAGTGTTGTCTTAATGCTGTGTTTAGATCACAGTGCATGGATTTACTTGAAAGTTGTCTCTATGTTCATAAAAGATCTCTGCCTTTGCCCACGTAGAAATCATCACCGAGTAAGGATCCCTGCTTAATTGTGGACTTCCATGAAGACTGGTTTGTGTGGATGATATCAGGGTCAGGATCTTAAGAGCAGAGAGTGATCAGACTAAAGATACTCTAAAAATAGACTCTTCAGTACTTAGACCGATTTTTTTAGCAAACATAACAAAATAAAAGCTTAAATGGAGTTCTAATTAGAAATTAAAATCACATTTGAGAGATATTCACTTTGAGATATGGAACAATTTATTAAGTGAATCCTCCTTTCATTCATATTCTAACCAGGCCTTTTGCTCAGTCCCCCTTATTCCTTTCTTGCAATTGGTGTTTCTTCCCTACCACTTAGCAAGTTGTGTATATTTTTTGATTGCTTGTCTGTTCCTCCTGTCCCAAGTACAGCAAAGGGAAGAAGCTACATATGGTTGAGATGTTCAGGGTCCCTTTAACCATGTGAGAAAATGAAATATTTGTGGTTCAGAGTTACTTAAAAGCAAACTTTTCAAGGCAGAGGATTTCCCATTTTGAGTTCAACCTTTTTAAATTGGAGTGCAATTGTAAGCATTAAACTCTCTGCTTTCAACAAGCAGTTTGAGCAAAATGATTGTGAATCCAGTAGTTTTAAATTCTTTAAGGCCTGCTATCTGTGAAATAGATATTTTGTGTAATGTACTTTTGCATAGTGAGGAGGTTTTCATTCAACTTCACAAAAGTAGGTGTTTGAGAATTGTACGTGATTCTGTTTTCTAGAAAACTGTAAACTGTATGTGATGTACAGACAGTGAATTCACTTCTTGTGTGTGTATATCTGTATCTTTTGATATTTGCTTATAGGAGGCCTATACATGTTTCCCCCACATGTAATTTACTTTTCTGTCCATTGCATAAGTGAGTGAGGTTTTTCTGCTCTGCTGGTATTCCTCTAAGAAGCAGAATGAAATAGCTCATGGAGACTGCTCTGCCTCCCACTTCCTTAACTGAAGTCTCACTGCTGTACTGCATTACAGAAAGGTATTACAGCAACAACAGGAAGGGATTAGAGAACAGAATTATGAAATAGCTGAGCTAGAAACACATCTCTGAAGATTGTCTGTTCCAACCCCCATGCTAAAGTGAGGTCAGCTAGAGCAGGTTACCCAGGATTGTCCAGTTGGATTTTGAATGTCTGCAGGGATGGAGACTCTCCGTTCCAGTGTTTTAATACTAGTCCAGTAAAAATGGTTTTTAGTTTTAAACAGAATTTCTTACGTTTTAATTTGTGTCTATTGGATATTGCTGGGATCCCCACTCCCCATCTCCAGTCAGGTATTTATTATACACTTTGATCGGACATGTCACAGAATCACAGAATCATCATGGTTGGAAGGGACCTCTGAGATCATAGAGTCCAACCACAAAAAAACAACAACAAAAGAACAAAAAAAAACCCCAACAACACACACAACACCCCACCACATCACACCCACCCACAAACCAATAATCTTGGGCACTAGAGCATGCCACCCACCCTGAACCGTCTCTAGGATAAATATCCCAGCTCCCTCAGCCTCTCCCTGTGTGTCAGATGCCTCAGTCATTATTGTCATGGTCTTTTGCTGGACTTGCTCCTGTAGGTCTACTCTGTGGTACTGGGGAGTACAGACCTGAACACTCCAGCTAGGGCTTGCCAGTGCTGAGTAATGCCTGCTGGCAACGCTCCCTCATGCAGCCCTGGATGCTTTCACCATTCTTAGCTGTGAGGATACGCTGCTGGCTTGTGGTCAACTGGTTGTCCATCAGGAGCCCCAGGTCCTTTTCTGCCAAGCTGCTTTCCAGCTGTATCGGTACAGTTGGCTGTTCCTCCCTAGGGCCAGGATTTGCAGTTCCCTATGTTGAACTTCATGAGGTTCCTCTCAACCCCATTGCTCCAGCCTGTCAAGGTCCTTCTGAATGGCAGCACAACCCTCTGGCTTATCATAGAATCATAGAGTTGTCCAGGCCGGAAGGGACCTCCAAAGGTCATCTAGTCTGACCTCCCCGCAGTCAGCAGGGACACCCCCAACTAGACCAGGTTGCCCAGGGCCTCGTCGAGCCTCTCCTTGAATATCTCCAGGGATGGGGCCTCAACCACCTCCCTGGGCAACCTGTTCCAGTGCTCCACCACCCTCACAGTAAAGAACCCTCTCCTCATCTCCAGTCTAAATCTGTTCCCCTCCAGCTTGAAGCCATTGCCCCTCGTCCTGTCACTGCAGGCCTTTCTAAACAGGTTCTCCCCAGCCTTCCTGTAGGCTCCCTTCAGGTACTGGAAGGCTGCTATAAGGTCTCCCTGGAGCCTCCTCTTCTCCAGGCTGAACAACCCCAGCTCCCTCAGCCTGTCCTCGTAGCAGAGGTGCTCCATCCCCCTGATCATCCTTGTGGCCCTCCTCTGGACCCTCTCCATCAGGTCCATGTCCTTCTTGTATTGAGGGCTTACCTACCTCCTGGCCTTGGATCATCATCAGTCTTACTGAAGGTGCCCTCTGCCCTGTCATGCAGGTCATTAGTGAAGATGTTAATCAGTACTGGCCCCACCATTGACCCTTGGGGTACTCAACTAGTGTGGATGACAGACTTCTGCTGGGGGCTGGAGGCGGTTGTGGCTTATTCTCTGACTGTATCTAACTGCAAGTTTTGCCACTCAGCAATTGGGGTTTGTTATTACAAATTCAGACCATGTGAATATCACTGCAGCCTCTGCTCTGCTTGTAAATGACCTGTGCAGCTGCCAAAGAGAAGAATATCCAGCTACCCCTTAAATCCTAAAAATAGGTCGGTTCTTCTGTCATATAGTGAATTAATACCAGCAGTGTTGCTAGTAGGGTTGCCTTTATAATTTGGAGAATGGATGTTGTTCTTCTGGCTAGTGTTCTTCAAATGAAGTTAAAAATCCTTCTGTGGATGTGGCTAGGCTGTCCTTCTGTCATGCTTGAATAGATTGTGCTCCCTTGATTTTTGGATTTCACGTGTTGACTTGTTAAATATGAAATTCTGTAAGGTTTTCTTTTATATTACCCGTGAGCTGTGGAACAGAGGTACAGCTGTATTATCCGTTAGGTTCTGCTTGGGGACATCTGCAGTTCTTCCCTTCAGTGATCTGATTGATGACACTTGACTTCCTTAAAACCAGTGCTGGTGTAGCAGCACTTTTTTGTATCGAGAAAAAGCCTTTACAGAGAATATCTACCTCTCTCAAAGTGCTAATGCAACGACCTATTCATGCTTTGAGCTTCTGAAGCTTCCTTGCTGCTCTCTTCTCTGTTTGTATCCTCTTGGCCTTTTTCAGCAACTCTGAACTGCTGTTCCCTGCTTGTTTTCAAAGCCATAGTGGGCTTTTTTTGATTTTCTCACTTTTCCAGCTTGTGAAAACTGATTCTGTAAACACGCTGGTATAAGAAAATGTATTCTTCAAAGCTGGTAAATGCATTTTCGGTAAATACTTCTCTTCCTAGATGGCAGTGCTTTATTTTCAAGTGTATTTCCTTTGTGTATTTTCCCTGATTAAATCTTATTGCTCAATCAGGATTCATACAATAAAATCCCAGTTGATGGATCAACATGATGTATATGTAGTTGAACAGAACTGTATTGTTCTTTTCATATCTGCTTACAATTTACTTGACAGTTTCTGAAAATTTTTTTTTAATCCATCTTAAACTTCAGTTGAAGATTTGTTTAGCTTAAATGTTTACCTGGCCTACTTAAAACTACAAAGCTTAATTTTAATTTTACTTTCCTCTTCCTCTCCTTCTCTTTCAGCATGGCGTTAGTCTGTATGTTCAGGATAAAGAAGGCTTATCAGCCCTGGATCTCGTGATGAAAGATAGGCCAATCCATGTGGTCTTCAAGAAAACTGGTAGGAAATCAAGCAGCTTGAATTTTATTTTATGAGGAGATATGCTTCAACAGTGTATTAATGTATGTGCCAGTGTAGACAACCTTTTCTGTTTCTAATAAGGACCATTTAAGTTACAAGATATCTGAAGGTGTCATAAGACATGGACACTCCTCTGATTTGAAATTGCTTATGGCTTTTAAGGCTTTTTACTAAACTGAAGCAAAGCCTGTGTAATCTAAGGTAGTAGTAGTTGTATTCGGAAAACATAACAAAATTTATTTGCTGCTGAAGAATGCATCCATATTCTGCAACTGGAAAATATGTATAAGTTATGGTGATCATCTTCCGTACATTGATGTTAAAATATTTTGTCATAGCACTTTCCTTCTCATAAGAATAAAACTTTCAAAAGATCAATTTTTGGTAAAAATCAGCTTTCCTCTTCAAATTTTAAATAGAAGCGAGTTGATTTTCAAAGTCATTATGCATGAAATTTGTAAATTTACAAACTGCAGAGAGAATTTTTTTTCGTTGCAGATCCCACCGAAGTCTACACCTGGGGAAACAATATCAATTTTACTTTGGGTCACGGTGGTCAACAGGGTAAACATCATCCTGAACTGGTGGACCTTTTTCCTCGGAATGGCGTCTATATCAAACAGGTATCTGACAGCATTCCATGGGCACCTTTCTCAGGGAACTTGGAGGGGGGTGAATTTCTTCTGTTGAAAGCATCCCCGTCCCTGGAGGGGTTCAAGGCCAGGTTGGATGGGGCTTTGAGCAACCTGGTCTGGTGGGAGGTGTCCCTGCCCAGGGCAGGGGGTTGGAACTGGATGATCTTGAAGGTCCCTTCCAACCCAAACCATTCTGTGATTCTATGTGCTGTTAAGTGCTCTTCCTGTAACAGGTAAATTAGCCTACAGGCTAACAGAAGCTCAAAAGATGGAGTTTTAATAAATACAAACTCTAGGTTTCTTCAAGTAGGTTAGAGGAACATAATAAATTTAAAGGAAATATTTTGTGTTCCCTGTGACTTGATCTGCCAGTCCTGTGCTTTAGCACTAGTATCTTACTTGTATTTTCACAAACAGATTTTATTGAAGCTGAACTTCTTCACGAAGTAGTTTTGGCACTTTTCTGCAGATTATCCAAAAAAATTAATTTGTGCTATCCTGCCTCTGCCCTAACCCCTTTTTGCCCTTTTTCTTTCAGGTGGTACTCTGCAAATTCCACTCTGTGTTCCTTTCTCACAAAGGCCAAGTTTATACATGTGGCCACGGACAAGGAGGACGCTTGGGTCATGGTGATGAACAAACATGCCTGGTATGCTGTCTTATGCTCTCACATGTAGTCTGACATGATACTGCTTTTTATTTCAAACAGCAAGTCTAAAAAGTGAATTAAGGTTTCTGGGAGTGTACTTTCAAAATCAGTTTGCTGTTGATTTCAAACAAACCTTCTTTGTCTCCATGAAATAACAGGAAAAAACGCCTCCGCAGTAATACCACTGAGGTTGCAGAGAGTAGAAGAATGTGCATTTGAATATATTTTAATTCAAGAGAGCTAGGTACTGTGGTCAAACTTCTGTGTTATGGCTTAGTCGTTTTAAAGGCTGGCTGATGCCAGGGAAGTAGAAGCAAATGGTTTTTGGCTGGGTTGCCTGCTTAAAGAGGCTGGTTACACTCTGTGACGAGTGTCAAGGCTGGCACAAAGGAAATAGCAGTTCTGTGGAGGTGTAGTGACATGAAAAGTGATGGTAGGGTTGATTCTTACTTGACTTGCACAGCCATTAAGTGAAAAATCACCTATCTTTTTCATTTGAATAGTACATTGTCGCAATATGCAAAATCAAAATTTGAGAAGACTAAGATACAGGAGGACGCTTGGGTCATGGTGATGAACAAACATGCCTGGTATGCTGTCTTATGCTCTCACATGTAGTCTGACATGATACTGCTTTTTATTTCAAACAGCAAGTCTAAAAAGTGGATTAAGGCTTCTGGGAGTGTACTTTCAAAATCAGTTTGCTGTTGATTTCAAACAAACCTTTGTCTCCACGAAATAACAGGAAAAAACCCCTCCGCAGTAATACTACTGAGGTTGCAGAGAGTAGAAGAATGTGCATTTGAATATATTTTAATTCAAGAGAGCTTGGTACTGTGGTCAAACTTCTGTGTTATGGCTGAGTCGTTTTAAAGGCTGGCTGATGCCAGGGAAGTAGAAGCAAGTGGTTTTTGGCTGGGTTGCCTGCTTGAAGAGGCTGGTTACACTCTCTGATGAGTGTCAAGGCTGGCACAAAGGAAATAGCAGTTCTGTGGAGGTGTAGTGACATGAAAAGTGATGGTAGGGTTGATTCTTACTTGACTTGCACAGCCATTAAGTGAAAAATCACCTATCTTTTTCATTTGAATAGTACATTGTCGCAATATGCAAAATCAAAATTTGAGAAGACTAAGATACGATGACAATACCATTTTTAGACCTCAGTATCTTTATCCCACGTGTGCTACCTGGTAGCATGCATTTAGTTTGCTGCATAATATTTTTTTTGAAATTTCTGGTAGATAGAAATCTGGTGTCTGGTAGAACTTGATATTATGTTGCTGGATGTTATAGTGAAGACCGGAGATCAATTTTTAACTCTTATTTTAATAAAATGCAATTCTATGAAATCAGATTTTTATGCAAATTGCTTTTTTGAAATTGGGACATTACCCAGTTGAATAACAGAGAACTCACATTCAAACTTCTGTGTTATGGCTTAGTCGTTTTAAAGGCTGGCTGATGCCAGGGAAGTAGAAGCAAATGGTTTTTGGCTGGGTTGCCTGCTTAAAGAGGCTGGTTACACTCTGTGACGAGTGTCAAGGCTGGCACAAAGGAAATAGCAGTTCTGTGGAGGTGTAGTGACATGAAAAGTGATGGTAGGGTTGATTCTTACTTGACTTGCACAGCCATTAAGTGAAAAATCACCTATCTTTTTCATTTGAATAGTACATTGTCGCAATATGCAAAATCAAAATTTGAGAAGACTAAGATACGATGACAATACCATTTTTAGACCTCAGTATCTTTATCCCACGTGTGCTACCTGGTAGCATGCATTTAGTTTGCTGCATAATATTTTTTTTGAAATTTCTGGTAGATAGAAATCTGGTGTCTGGTAGAACTTGATATTATGTTGCTGGATGTTATAGTGAAGACCGGAGATCAATTTTTAACTCTTATTTTAATAAAATGCAATTCTATGAAATCAGATTTTTATGCAAATTGCTTTTTTGAAATTGGGACATTACCCAGTTGAATAACAGAGAACTCACACTAGAATGTATGAAGAGTCAAAGGTACAGAACTGCTTCCTTATTCTGTGGAATTTTCGTAGGATTATCCTGTGTTTTGGAGGAAGGGATGGTAATTGAAAAACAAAATCAAAAGAGGTAATAGTTAATTTTTGTCCAGCTGTCCTGAAGATATAGTTTCTAACCTAATTTTGGAGCAGGTAGTTTAAAAATCATCTCCCTTGATAGCAGAGGATGCATTTCAAATGAGAGTGGTTTCTCTTTTTGCATGTCGCAATATGCAAAATCAAAATTTGAGAAGACTAAGATACGATGACAATACCATTTTTAGACCTCAGTATCTTTATCCCACGTGTGCTACCTGGTAGCATGCATTTAGTTTGCTGCATAATATTTTTTTTGAAATTTCTGGTAGATAGAAATCTGGTGTCTGGTAGAACTTGATATTATGTTGCTGGATGTTATAGTGAAGACCGGAGATCAATTTTTAACTCTTATTTTAATTTTTTTAAAAAAAAAAAAAAAAAAGAATTTAAAAATGCAATTCTATGAAATCAGATTTTTTTGCAAATTGCTTTTTTGAAATTGGGACGTTACCCAGTTGAATAGTGGAAAACTCACACTAGAATGTATGAAGAGTCAAAGGTACAGAACTGCTTCCTTATTCTGTGGAATTTTCGTAGGATTATCCTGTGTTTTGGAGGAAGGGATGGTAATTGAAAAACAAAATCAAAAGAGGTAATAGTTAATTTTTGTCCAGCTGTCCTGAAGATATAGTTTCTAACCTAATTTTGGAGCAGGTAGTTTAAAAATCATCTCCCTTGATAGCAGAGGATGCATTTCAAATGAGAGTGGTTTCTCTTTTTGCATTGGATGTGATGTGGTAAATATATTCATTATAAATCAGGGAGTGGAGCGATAGGATGTGAGGGGTAAAGGGACTGGAAGAGGAGAGATTTAGATTAGATTTTGGGAAGAAATTCTTTGCTGTGAGGGTGGTGAGAGCCTGGCCCAGGTTGCCCAGAGGAACTGTGGATGCTCCGTCCCTGGAGGGGTTCAAGGCCAGGCTGGATGGGGCTTGGAGCAACCTGGTCTGGTGGGAGGTGTCCCTGCCCAGGGCAGGGGGTTGGAACTGGATGATCTTTTATGTCCCTTCCAACCCAAACCATTCTGTGATTCTATGGTAATGAGCGTATTGTATGTTGAAATGCATTTTCATTTGTAGTTCAGTATTTGGTCATGACTTTCTCTTGGTGTAATTTTAGTTTCATACATGGCCACTGGTTAATATCCAACTTTTTGCTTTTTTGTTCAGGTTCCAAGACTCGTGGAAGGCTTAGCTGGCCACCAGTGCTCCCAGATAGCTGCAGCCAAGGATCATACTGTTGTTTTAACTGAAGATGGATATGTTTACACATTTGGTTTAAATACTTTCCATCAATTGGGTATTCTTCCTCCTCCTGCTAATTGCACTGTTCCTAGACAGGTAAAAATAATACCAGTCTTATTTAGTTGCTTTTTGTTTATTTGTTTGGGTTTTTTTTAACAGAAAGTAAAATGGATTATGAAAATACCTTAATTTTTCAGGGTGATAAAGTCAAATGTGAGTTCAGTTAAAATCTTGATTCTGTGTTATAGTAAATCTCAATCTGAAGTACTCTCCTGTGTCCTGATAAACATCTTAACCTGAATTGTACTAAAGTTTGTAGTGCTAAGTAGTGCAAGTTACAATTGCCAAAACCCTTCTCTTCCCCAAATTATTCTGTACCTGAAATGATGTCAAAGCAATGGGTATGTGTTACTGGAAATTCATGCCCTTTACTCCTTTTGAATCACTGGATGATGGATCTTGGGGTTTGATGGTTGAGTCTCTTTTGAGGGAAACACTGTTGATTCTGGGTCATAATAGCAACAGGGAGGAGCAGGCATGGACATCAGCAACTTGACTATATGTCTACACTCAATCTATAACTTTTTCTAATATTTTTTTTAAGTAAGTAAGTGTTACATCAGCTTTTATTGAAAGGAAGCTTCACCTAGAGTAAAACAACATTACACCACCAGTGGTGAAAAAATAGGAAAGAATAATTGGCCAAAGTGCAACAGTATAATGTTTTGGGATACAATGGGATGCTCTTCAGTAGGATAATGTGTCTACAAGATTTGGTTTGATCTTGATCATCTTGATTTGAGGTGAGGAGTTAGTAGTATCGTGTTTTTGCAGTGTGTTTAGGGCTTTAGGACTTAGAAGCTGAAGATTTTTAGCTGGCGCTTTTGCAGATAAATACAAATGCAGATCAAAAATGCAGATTTTGATCAGATAATCCAAAAAGTTCACTTCTTTTTGTCACTAGCACAATAGTGCCCCACTTGGCAAACTTTTGAAGTTATCCTGATTTATTAGACTGTGTAAGGATCGATACCGATGATTCATCCGTAATACCTTTAGGAGTTAAATGTTGTCAGAAGTTTGTACGTGTGAAATTCACTTGTTGCTGCTTAATATTAAGATGTGCTTTGGATTTGTGCTTAGGTTCAGGCCAAAAACCTGAAAGGTAGAATGGTGGTTGGCGTGGCGGCAGGCAGATTCCATACAGTGCTATGGACTAAGGAAGCAGTGTATACCATGGGGCTGAATGGCGGCCAACTAGGTAAGGTAGAAGCCTTCTGAAAGTAAACCCCAGCCATTAAAAGATGTTTTTCATGTTATTTGTACCGAAGCTGTCATCTGCTTCTTGAAACAGAAGCCTGGTTAAAGCTTTCTCTTCTCTCTCCTTTTTTTTTTTAATTTAAACCAGTCTGATGACATCATCCATTCGCACTTCTTTTGAAGAATATTTTTCATTACTGCCAGTCTCTTTAACATTTGGAGATGATAGGAGTGAGGCAGACTTAGCTCTGTTATTTGACCTCCTTATAATTCTTTTGCTTTCCATGTATCTTACGTGGTTCTGCTGCTCAAGACTTTCAGGAAACAGAATGTTTCTCTTTATGTTGCACATAACCCCAAGGCATACTCGTCTCCTCCTGCAGTCTGGCCCTTAATAAATTATAAATTAACATTCAGCTCTCCTCCCTGTGTGCTCCTTTCACCTTGCACTGTAAACATGCTACTGATAACTGTTTCCATGCAAACTTTTAAAACTGAAATGTTTGCCCATATCTCAATTTTTATTTTTATTTTTTTCCAACAACACCATTTTCAGAATCTCCCCTTAACTCACTATTATTCCGAAATCAAGAAAGAACTTAATAAAATGCATTACCAACTAGTGAACTTCTTGATTTGTTGTGTGGATGGGATATTTTAATTGCTTTTGTCTTTTTTAATGAACAGGTACCAAGGCATACTCGTCTCCTCCTGCAGTCTGGCCCTTAATAAATTATAAATTAACATTCAGCTCTCCTCCCTGTGTGCTCCTTTCACCTTGCACTGTAAACATGCTACTGATAACTGTTTCCATGCAAACTTTTAAAACTGAAATGTTTGCCCATATCTCATTATTTTTTTCCAACAACACCATTACCAGAACCTCCCCTTAACTCACTATTATTCCGAAGTCAAGAAAGAACTTAATAAAATGCATTACCAACTAGTGAACTTCTTGTTGTATGAATGGGATATTTTAATTGCTTTTGTTCTTTTTAATGAACAGGCATTGCAATATTGGTTTGGATTTACATTTCCCCAGTTCTGTATCAGTGTGCAAACAAACCTGTTAGCTAGCTCTGGTACTTAGAGTTAATCTGCATCAGGTTCAGACCCTTTTTTGTGTTCCTATTTAAGATGGCAAAGGTATGTGAAAAAAAAACTTGTCTTTGTCAGAGAAGTATCTTACTAATGAATATTTTTTTGTGTGTTTGGTTTTGGTCTTTTTTTTTAATATATATCCACCTATCGTATAAGTTTCTTTTGGTTGCTTGTGTTGTTGAGATTATTCTGGCACACACGTGGCCCAGTGCAGCGCCCTGTGGGGACAGTAATTGGGTTTTTAGGGGTGTTTTTGTGTGTTTGGTTTTGGTCTTTTTTTTTTTTAATATATATCCACCTATCATATAAATTTATTTGTGGTTCCTTGTGTTGTTAGGATTATTCTATCACGCACGTGGCCCAGTGCAGTGCCCTGTGGAGGCAGTAATTGGGTTTTTAGGGGTACAGTTGTGTCAGCTGGGTGCTGTGATAGACCTCTGGTAAATAAACCTTGCCTCTTTGAGGTGTTCTGGCACAAGACTACGCTGTCGTATGACAGGGGTGCTCCCAGCTTTAGAGGTGGCTCTGCTGCTTGTTCCTGGGTATTTGTACCCTGCTCCATGCTGTGGTGCAGACAGAAGTGCACAGAGGGCAGGGTTATATTATAGAATCATAGGATCTGTTGGGTTGGAAGGGACCTTTAAAGGTCATTTAGTCCAACCCCCCTGCCACGAGTGATATCCACCTATCATATAAATTTATTTGTGGTTCCTTGTGTTGTTAGGATTATTCTATCACGCACGTGGCCCAGTGCAGTGCCCTGTGGAGGCAGTAATTGGGTTTTTAGGGGTACAGTTGTGTCAGCTGGGTGCTGTGATAGACCTCTGGTAAATAAACCTTGCCTCCTCGAGGTGTTCTGGCACAGCACTACGCTGTCGTATGACAGGGGTGCTCCCAGCTTTAGAGGTTCCTCTACTGCTTGTTCCTGGATATTTGTACCCTGCTGCATGCTGTGGTACAGAGAAGTGCACACAGGGCAGGGTTATGTTATAGAATCATAGCATGTGTTGGGTTGGAAGGGACCTTTAAAGGTCATTTAGTCCAACCCCCCTGCCACGAGTGGGGACATCTTTAACTAGATCAGATTGCTCAGACCATCATCAAGCCTGACCTTGAATGTCTCCAGGGATGGGGCCTCGACCACCTTTCTAGGCAACCTGCTCCACTGGCACAGCACTACGCTGTCGTATGACAGGGGTGCTCCCAGCTTTAGAGGTTCCTCTACTGCTTGTTCCTGGATATTTGTACCCTGCTGCATGCTGTGGTACAGAGAAGTGCACACAGGGCAGGGTTATGTTATAGAATCATAGGTATGACAGGGGTGCTCCCAGCTTTAGAGGTGGCTCTGCTGCTTGTTCCTGGGTATTTGTACCCTGCTCCATGCTGTGGTGCAGACAGAAGTGCACAGAGGGCAGGGTTATATTATAGAATCATAGGATCTGTTGGGTTGGAAGGGACCTTTAAAGGTCATTTAGTCCAACCCCCCTGCCACGAGTGGGGACATCTTTAACTAGATCAGATTGCTCAGACCATCATCAAGCCTGACCTTGAATGTCTCCAGGGATGGGGCCTCGACCACCTTTCTAGGCAACCTGCTCCACTGTCTCACCACCCTCATAGAAAAGAATTTCTTCCTAATGTCTAATCTAAATCTACCCTCTTTCCACTTAAAACTGTTACCTCTCATCCTATGGCTCCCCTCCCTGATAAAAGAGTAGCCCCCATCTCTCCTGGAGCCCCTTTAGGGACTGGAAGGGGCTCTGAGGTCTCCCTGGAGCCTTCTCTTCTCCAGGCTGAACAACCCCAACTCTGAGCCTGTCTTCAGCCCTCTGATCCTCCTTGTGACCCTACGTGGTCTTCTATGATATTGTTTGTGTGAGGCTTCTTGATGCAGCAGAGCAGTAATGGCCTGATTTTTTTTTTTTTAATTTATTTATTTATTTTCAATACATTTTCAGAGACCTTGTATTACAGCTCCAACCTTGTCTGTTTTTTCACTTAACTCCCTGCCTTCTTCCTTATGTGCACTTACAGTAATTTGTAGGACAGGCTTGTTTAGTATCTTCCAATGGCTGAAATAATCTATAGTTTATGCTAGTGTGATAGTACTTCTAGTGTCTTGAACTGCATTATGATCAAATAAATTATGATCAAATTTCTTCAGAATCAAAGGCAGTACCACTGCAGAGTCAAACCACATTAAATAGCTTCCCTGTAGAATATACCTTACTTCTCTTTTTTGTTTTGTTTTTTTTTTTTTTTGTTTATCAAATCTTGAATGTTTTCTGGTGTTTGTGGTGAATTAACAAGTATGTCTGGTGGGTCTCTTATCTGTCTAATTACTTTGAAGGTGAATTATCTACCTAAGAAGCCTTTTAGAATGTAAAGCTTCTTCAAAGTAGCGTAGCAAAGCGTCCTTTGAATGCACAATGTGTTGAATGGCAAATAATGGTTTTGGGTGTGTTGTATTTTCTAGGTTATCTGCTGGATCCTAACGGGGAAAAATGTGTAACTGCACCTCGGCAGGTTTCTGCTCTGCACCACAAAGACATCTCTGTGTCCTTGGTCTCCGCGAGCGATGGTGCCACAGTGTGTGTTACTGAAAGAGGAGATATTTATTTGCTTGCAGACTATCAGTGCAAAAAGATGGCTTCAAAGTACGTGTTCTCTGATTTGTCATGAAGCACAAATAGGTGAAGATTTCACCCTAGTCTTACACTGGCAAGCTATTATAAAGATTTTTGGTGCAAAAAGTAGAGATAATCCATACTCCCCTGAGTTTTTTTCATTTGCAGTTTCTCATATGAACTGTGGCAATCTTTCTTTTTAGGGTTGCTTGCAGACTATCAGTGCAAAAAGATGGCTTCAAAGTACGTGTTCTCTGATTTGTCATGAAGCACAAATAGGTGAAGATTTCACCCTAGTCTTACACTGGCAAGCTATTATAAAGATTTTTGGTGCAAAAAGTAGAGATAATCCATACTCCCCTGAGTTTTTTTCATTTGCAGTTTCTCATATGAACTGTGGCAGTCTTTTTTTTTTTTTAGGATTTTATCCATGAAAAAAACTGAGAAACAGCCTGCTGGGATAGGATAGGTCATTTAATGCAAACAGCTAAATGAAATTTATACAACTATAATTTTTGTAATGCTTGAGATCAAAGCCAAATCATTTACTGGTTTTCATTTGTGAAATTTTGTGACGAACCTGTGGATATATGATGTGATTTACTTAAAAGCAAAGCAAAAATTACAATCTGCTACTAGTATTTATTAGTAGTTATGTTAATAATACCAATGGGGAGAAACTAAACTTCAGTAATTTTTCAGGGTCACTACCTTGTCTATTTTTTTTTACTGCTTCTCGAAATGAAAAACATAAGTCTGTCATAGAAGCAGCATCAATACACAATGAAGAAATACTAATTTAACCTTTTGTGTTCTTTCAGACAGCTGAACCTTAAAAAAGTTCTTGTTAATGGTGGGTATTTGGAATATAAGGTAGATACCCAGCATCTTAAAGAAAATGGGGGTCAGAAGATTTGCATTCTAGCACTGGATGAAGCTGGAAGAGTAAGTTGTGTCCCTAGAAATCATAATTATATAGCAAGTTGTATGCTGATTAATGAAACTTGAAACATAAGAAGTTAATAGGAGAAAATCATTCATAGACAATACACAATTTATTTCTGTAGAGCTGCTAGTGATTTTTTTTGTTTGTTTGTTTTAAAAGGGCTATGGGACGACTACCAAAGTTATGTACAATAATTTATATTGAAATCTGTGAACATCTAACGGCTTTGTGAAGGTGTAAACTTTACTTTTACATAGATAAGTGGTTATATAGCATTTCTGGCCTGTTTTATTTTGTTGTGGGTTTTTTTTTTTCCCATCTCTTCTCTCACCCCACCTACTCAGTCACCTTTACACCCTCCAGAAATAATGTAAGAAGGAGTCTCAACTTGGAAGTTTTAGAGCCTTTGCTGAAAAGCAGCTCTTCTGTAGATGAGATGTCCCTTTTATTGTTGAAAAGTTGCAGCTAAACCTGGTGAATGGCTTAGTAGTTAGTTAAGTGCAGACTCTGTGTTGAATTAGAAGTGGAATACTATGGCAGATTTATTGGTTCCTTCCCTCATTATTTTACAGAGTAGCAGTTTAGAGGACCCTTCCAAAAACCAGCCTTTTCTAGATCCACTCACTGGGTCATCTAAACCTTCAGTGCCATCTAGTGGTGTTTACAAAAAGATTTTGTTACTGAAATGCTGCCTTTTTAAAGAATCTTAAAAATCTAAGCTTGTATATCAAAATAAAGAGGAGTGTGGGTATTTCCTTGCATTTGAATGAATTATGTTTTGGGATGATCTTATCCGTTTATTAGGTCATTAGTTGTCTTGGGGATTGTAAACTTCCAGTTCAATATTTCTTCCGGTGAAGTTTAGCCTCTAGAATCTGTCATATTGGTCATGCCCCTTCAACATCTTTAGGACACTGCTTTAGCAGTAATACTGGAAAATGCAGAGATCTTTAGTGTTTTTAGAAATGATAAATTACTGAGTGAGGAGTGGGATGGGATCTTAATACTTCTGTTGCCTGAATCAGCGCTTCCTGGTCTGGGTTGATTGTACTCTCTTTAAGAGAGCACAGTTTAGCCTAGAAAAGAGAAGGCTCGTGGGGGATCTTCTCAAAGTATATACGTGAAGATGTAAAGAAGGTGGAGCCAGGCTCTTCTCAGTGGTGCCCAGTGACAGAACCAGAGGCAGTGGGCACAAAATGAAACAAAGGAAGCTCAGATCTGAATATCAGGAGGACTTTTTCACAGTTCCAAAACCATAGCTGGTACAGAGAAACTTGAGGGTTTTTGTCAAACAGTTAACAATTCTAAATTTTTGGTGTGCTAGTTCTGAGTTTTGCCCGATTTATAAAGAAACCGGTTGGAAAAATCTATAAATTAAGAACTAGATTGAACTTATTTCTTTGCTTCATGATACCTTGTGCTGTCCTTGTTGAAAAGTCAGTGAAAACTGTCCTTAGAGGACTGCTCTGGAGATGTTTGACTATTCAGAGAAGCTTTTCAAATGTCCTTCAAGGGCAAATGGATCTTGATATCATAATAGATCTTCCCTGTTTTACTTGTGGGTTCTTTGTAATAGATGCTCATAATTTTGAAGAATGTCTTTCTCCTTCTATATGATATATGCAACTTTGAGACGATCTGTTCTTGTGTTTAAAAAAAGTAGCATGTAATATAAAACTGCTTTTATATGACATTTAGGTTTCCCCTTTCTCTGGTTTAAAAAAAGTAGCATGTAATATAAAACTGCTTTTATATGACACTAAGATTTCCCCTTTCTCTGAAAAAAAAATGCTATTATAGGTGTTTTGTTGGAAGTCATCTAACAACTCCATGAAGCAGTGTCGCTGGGTGTACGGCCGGCAAGTCTTCATGTCCGATGTGGCTTTAAATAGGAATGAAATAATGTTTGTCACACAGGACGGGGAAGCCTTTACAGGGAAGTGGCTGGAAGAAGGGAAGAAAATGTCAGAAAAGAAAGGTTAGCTGTGATTTCTTTTTAAAGTACTTCAGATCAATATAGAAGTTTAATCGAGTCTTTATGGACTCTAACAGTATTATGTGGTGAGGTTGTTCTTTCCTCTGTGGCTGATGGAGGTGGCATTGACCACTGCTGTTCTCTTTCCTCAATAATACTAAGATTTACTTACTCTGCAGCCTTCAGGTGGAGATTCCCAGGAAGAAAAGTACTTCTGAAGAGTAATAGTAGCACTATAAGCAACAGAGGGAGAGCTGCTGGTTTTTTTGGAAAGGTTTTAGTGAATGTGGCAAATGGTGTGTGCATATTCAGTTACCCAATTCTTGAAAAATAATCCAGTGTTTGGAGAATATCACTTTTTTTTTTCAATGATATTTTTTTCAGTTTGGGTATAATTTAAACAGATGTAATATTGAGTTTGAAGGCAATTGTATTTTATCTGCTGTAATTGATATGACAGGAAAAGAAAACAATCTTGCATTGTTGTACACTGATGAACAGCTTCTTTCGTTCCACGAGAGGTTGCACTGAATGTTAGGTGGAGGGTCTTCCCTTACATGGAGAAGTGGCAAAACACTTCACAAGAAATTCTGGATGAAGCCACTCCAATATGTAATGTGAAGTCTTATTCTTAAAACATTTTCCTGCATTTCAGTTAAGTGAGCTGAAATCTTCAGCACAATTTAGCCTTACTCTGACTTACAGAAGTCATAAACTTTGCCTTTTTTGTTGTATCAGTTGCATTTTAATTAGCTGGACCTTCCTGTGTCTTTTCTCAATTTTTTTTTTTTTTATTTTTAACCAGAACTTCTGTCGAGTCTTCAGAATCCTTCCTGTGATGTGTCCTGTGAACACGATACAAACAGCGTGTATGAAAGAATTCGACTCCAGAAGCTTACTTTTGTCCACCGAGCTGTTAGTATTGCCACCGATCCTAATGGCTGCAATTTTGCTGTTTTACAGTCAGATCCTAAAACAAGGTATATTTAAAACATCAGTAACTGTAGTTTTTCCTTTTTTTACAGTCAGATCCTAAAACAAGGTATATTTACAACATCAACAACTGTAGTTTTTCCCTTTTTTTCTTTTTGTGTGTGTGTTATTGCAGTTAAATTATTCTGCTTTTCAAAATGATGTTTTAGCTCATAACAGAAGTCACAGTAAATGTGGTTATCCCTGCTGCTAAAGAATAGCACTTGTTAGTAAACAACAATGATGTTTTAGCTCATAACAGAAGTCACAATAAATGTGGTTATCCCTGCTAAACCAGTCTGTTGAAATTACTCAAAGACTTCAGCTTATATATTTGCAAAATTACTACAGATAGTCTTAATGTTTTATCTAAAGTTTTTTAAGGCAAGCATTTGCAATGTATTTCCTAACACACTCTGAGCTTTAAATACTGTAGAGATTCACCCCTTCAGTAATCACCAGTGATTGCTTTTAAATAAACCTAAAAAGTGGATCTTTGTTTGGAAAAAGTCAATAAGTAGAATACTAAACCATGTTCCTTGCACTCTTGTAATAGTTTCCAGTATAGCTGATAAATATTTGCTTATTGCTTTGGATTGTAATATGAAATACAGCAAACGTTTTCTATGTTTTCTTGGTGGAAAAATGAAATGAAGATGAAGTAGTTCTGGATAAAACGTATTTACTGGCTACGTTATGAAGACAAAGTGCTATATTTGATAATGTGAAGCTAGACAGGTCTTCTGTATGTTTTTTAGTTGCTTAAATATCACGTTGCTAGTTCTTTCTGTAAAGAATAGGAGTAGAAATACTGAGTAATCCACCAACGTAAGAAAAAAACCTAAACAAGCCAAATGGAAACACCCTCACCCTCTTCATTAAGAATACTGTGTAAAATTTATGGAGCTTGTCAATGGTGGTGTTTTTTGATGGATCTCATTTTGTTCTAGTCTCTATGAAATTCCAAGTGTGTCGTTATCAAGTTTTGGCGAGGATTTTGGCAAACTGTTAGACGAGACAGATGAAATGGACAGCATCCACGACGTGACTTTTCAGATTGGCACCAGAACTTACCCCGTGCACAAATACATCTTGGCCGCGCGCTCCGACTTCTTCAAGAAGCTCTTTGTTTCCAGTGACAACCAGTTGGACACCCCAGACGTCTACCGTAAAGATGAAGATGCTGTTGGATGTGACTTGTATGTCATAGAGAAAGTTCACCCCGATCTGTTTGCCTACCTTCTGCAGTTCATATACACTGACACTTGCGATCTCCTGACTCAGGGTTTTAAACCCAAAATCCTGCATAAAGGAAAATCGGAAGAATATCAAGACACTTTGATTTCTAACCTGAGCAAAATGAGTTTTGATGAAAACGTTAACGGAAAGTCTGCGTTTGAGATTTATAGAAATAATCAAGTGCAAGTTATAAATGAGAAACAGAAGAGCAAAGCTAAAAAAGGCAAAGTTGCTGGGGAAGAAGCGAACCTCATAAAAATGTTGCAAAGTGCTGCGAGGAAGTTTGGACTCAGCAATTTAAGTGGAAGGTGGGTGAAAAGAAATGCATTTATATTCTGGGAAGCTCTTCACAGAGTGCATTTATGTAAGCCAATCTAACTTTAGTTGTTGCTAAAAAGTTGGGGTTGATAAATTTGCCTTTTTTTTTGCTTCTTTTATTGTTTGTAAGTATAAAAGTTTATGACACACGCCAGGCCATCTCTTTAAAGCAGTATCAGTTTGTTCTGATGCTCTTTGCTAAGAGAAAGTGTGTATGACCTTTACAAATAATGTTCATAGGATGATTATATACTTAAAGCATCATTTTTGAATAGGCTTCTGTATGATGGAAATGTGCTGGTGGACCTTCTTGTGTCCTAGAACCTCTTGGGACAGTTGTATTTAAAACATTTGTCCTGTGTATCTTCTAAGGCATGAGCTCTCCGAGAGTGATGCAAACCATCTGACTTTCCAGAATGAACTGTCATAAAACATCAATACTCATAAAACATAAATACTCATTTTGTTAGAGAAAGCTGATCTAATTGAGTTTTGGATTGATGAATTTCTATGCTGTGGTCCGATTTTTAACCAGAACTTCTGTCGAGTCTTCAGAATTCTTCCTGTGATGTGTCCTGTGAGCACGATACAAACAGCGTGTATGAAAGAATTCGACTCCAGAAGCTTACTTTTGTCCACCGAGCTGTTAGTATTGCCACCGATCCTAATGGCTGCAATTTTGCTGTTTTACAGTCAGATCCTAAAACAAGGTATATTTACAACATCAACAACTGTAGTTTTTCCCTTTTTTTCTTTTTGTGTGTGTGTTATTGCAGTTAAATTATTCTGCTTTTCAAAATGATGTTTTAGCTCATAACAGAAGTCACAGTAAATGTGGTTATCCCTGCTGCTAAAGAATAGCACTTGTTAGTAAACAACTCTGTTGAAATTACTCAAAGACTTCAGCTTATATATTTGCAAAATTACTACAGATAGTCTTAATGTTTTATCTAAAGTTTTTTAAGGCAAGCATTTGCAATGTATTTCCTAACACACTCTGAGCTTTAAATACTGTAGAGATTCACCCCTTCAGTAATCACCAGTGATTGCTTTTAAATAAACCTAAAAAGTGGATCTTTGTTTGGAAAAAGTCAATAAGTAGAATACTAAACCATGTTCCTTGCACTCTTGTAATAGTTTCCAGTATAGCTGATAAATATTTGCTTATTGCTTTGGATTGTAATATGAAATACAGCAAACGTTTTCTATGTTTTCTTGGTGGAAAAATGAAATGAAGATGAAGTAGTTCTGGATAAAACGTATTTACTGGCTACGTTATGAAGACAAAGTGCTATATTTGATAATGTGAAGCTAGACAGGTCTTCTGTATGTTTTTTAGTTGCTTAAATATCACGTTGCTAGTTCTTTCTGTAAAGAATAGGAGTAGAAATACTGAGTAATCCACCAACGTAAGAAAAAAACCTAAACAAGCCAAATGGAAACACCCTCACCCTCTTCATTAAGAATACTGTGTAAAATTTATGGAGCTTGTCAATGGTGGTGTTTTTTGATGGATCTCATTTTGTTCTAGTCTCTATGAAATTCCAAGTGTGTCGTTATCAAGTTTTGGCGAGGATTTTGGCAAACTGTTAGACGAGACAGATGAAATGGACAGCATCCACGACGTGACTTTTCAGATTGGCACCAGAACTTACCCCGTGCACAAATACATCTTGGCCGCGCGCTCCGACTTCTTCAAGAAGCTCTTTGTTTCCAGTGACAACCAGTTGGACACCCCAGACGTCTACCGTAAAGATGAAGATGCTGTTGGATGTGACTTGTATGTCATAGAGAAAGTTCACCCCGATCTGTTTGCCTACCTTCTGCAGTTCATATACACTGACACTTGCGATCTCCTGACTCAGGGTTTTAAACCCAAAATCCTGCATAAAGGAAAATCGGAAGAATATCAAGACACTTTGATTTCTAACCTGAGCAAAATGAGTTTTGATGAAAACGTTAACGGAAAGTCTGCGTTTGAGATTTATAGAAATAATCAAGTGCAAGTTATAAATGAGAAACAGAAGAGCAAAGCTAAAAAAGGCAAAGTTGCTGGGGAAGAAGCGAACCTCATAAAAATGTTGCAAAGTGCTGCGAGGAAGTTTGGACTCAGCAATTTAAGTGGAAGGTGGGTGAAAAGAAATGCATTTATATTCTGGGAAGCTCTTCACAGAGTGCATTTATGTAAGCCAATCTAACTTTAGTTGTTGCTAAAAAGTTGGGGTTGATAAATTTGCCTTTTTTTTTGCTTCTTTTATTGTTTGTAAGTATAAAAGTTTATGACACACGCCAGGCCATCTCTTTAAAGCAGTATCAGTTTGTTCTGATGCTCTTTGCTAAGAGAAAGTGTGTATGACCTTTACAAATAATGTTCATAGGATGATTATATACTTAAAGCATCATTTTTGAATGGGCTTCTATATGATGGAAATGTGCTGTTGGACCTTCTTGTGTCCTAGAACCTCTTGGACAGTTTTATTTAAAACATTTGTCCTGTGTATCTTCTAAGGCATGAGCTCTCTGATGCAAACCATCTGATTTTCCAGAATGAACTGTCATAAAACATCAATACTCATAAGACATCAGTACTCATTTTGTTAGAGACAGCTGATCTAATTGAGTTTTGGATTGATGAATTTCTATGCTGTGGTCTGTAGTCTACCATTTTTTTTTCTGTTGACAATTAACACATTTAACGTAAAACTACACATCACAAAGTTAAATTCCTCTGCAACTGATGCATTTTTAATTTTACGTGATGAACCTAATGGAATTGAGACCAAATGTTTCTGTAGAACTGTATTACTCGTGTTTTTTGGTGGGTTTTTTTCCTGCATTTGTCTTTTACCTTCAAAGGAGGGAACGAACTTTTTCAGTTACATTTTGCATCTCCAGTGAAGATTTTCAAGTAACAGGTGACCTTTTCTAGTTTTCTGTGCTGAGTCATTTCAATCTTCTTTCGTATTCACAATCCGAGCCCACTGAAGTGCTGTTACTTTGTGAGACTGTTCTTTCTAATGTTTTGAACTGTCTACTAATTGTATTACTTATTACTACTGTTAATAATTTGCAGGTTGGATGGAGTCAGGTTAGAAAATGGAAAAATTAATGTTGTCAACAAGAAGAATGGGAACAAACCGAAGTTAAATCAGAAGAAATGGTAAACTCTTTAAATCAAGCTTCCCCTACCCCCACCATCTTCCTTTTACACCATCTCTTTATCTTTTAAGTGTAGGTTAAGGTTGACCAGCTGTATTTGAACTTCTGGTGCACAGTTATCTCTTCCACAGTAACTCATGTTTGTAAGGTCTCTGTGGATGCTTATAGGCTGATGTGTGAATTGGGAATCTGGGCTAGATTACGTAGGGTGTAGTTTTACTTTTTTCTTTGCTGTACATTAGTGTGTTCTGTGGGTTAACTGAGTTGTAGAATACTAATGCCAGGAGAAATATTGTGGGTAACCCAGTCAAAACCAGTTTGACTTCTGCAAATATGCTTGCTCTGACAAGAAGATGACATGTATTGGAAATAAGAAAATATATATAACACTTTTAATAATAATTTTATAATAATATTTTTTTCTAATTAAGAAAAATCTCTGGAGTATCAAAGTGATACTTTATCAAAGTGATGCTTATTTATTAATTTCATGGGTGTGATTGGGTTATTCGTGCTCAAAGGCTTGGATAGTCTTTTTACGTAGTAAAAGCTACATTGCCTAAAAATAGCTTTTTCACAGAATTTGGATTACTTCACTCTTAAAATGCTTTGTCAAAGCTTATAATAGCCACTATTTTAAAAGAAATAACTAGCTTAACATAGATCCTTTGACTAAAATTAGCCCTAATTAATTTATTTGGCCATAGCAGTTTTGAAATAGTAATTGACCATGTTTTGAAGGAAATACTTCGGGTGGAATTTTGAGAGCTCGTCTTTGGACAAAAAAGTCTCTCTTGAATTTCTTCCTGTCCTTTTAGCTTCATTTCATATATTATTTTTACAGTTCAGGTGTGTTTTATTTTGAAGGATAAATCCTAATCTGCTAAAGTAAGCATTTATTTGTAGATTTTACAATGTGTAGCTGTTCTGAACAGTCATGGTTCTGATCCTGTTAAATCTTTTCTAGTTCATACCTCTGTGATGTGACCCTGAAATCTTTAGATGGAAAGGAATTCCCATGTCATAAGTGTGTCCTTTGTGCAAGACTTGGTATGTGTGCATATTTATACATATATATAAAAAAATATACACCGTATTGTCTATTTTAATTGAAATTTTACTGCATCTTGAACTGAAATGCCTTTCTTTGCAGATTATTTTCACAGCATGTTAAGCAGCTCGTGGATTGAGGTAAGCTTGCCAATAAACATGTGTGGTGCTATGTTTTGTTGCATCAAATAAGGGACAGCTTTATGAACTGTCATAAAACATCAATACTCATAAAACATAAATACTCATTTTGTTAGAGAATTTCAGTTTTTCCTAGAATTACATACCCTGAGTACTAGGGAAAAGGAAAGGTTGGATTCTTGGATCTCATTTCCAAGAAAAAAAAATAACTGCACATTTTTGGTTACTCTATACTTATACTATTGAGATTATTACATTTATTACTCTCATTTAATTCACAATGTATGTCAAAGGAAATTAAGTATTGTTTTAGAGGTTTATTTTGAGCTAGCTCATTTATTTATGGAAGCTGCTGGACTCTTCTTATGGGATACTGCTTTGGGTGATTTTTCATTTTTTCTGTAAAAGATCTTACAATTTAAATAGTATGCAGAATGGAATAGCTTTTCATATGTCCTGAGTGAAATATACAGCAGAACTGAGAGTCACTGTGTAGACTCTCTAATTGACTTTTAATGAAATAGAGGATATTTCTCCTGGTTCCTCTTTGCTACCCTGCTATTTGAATTTGCTCTTCGATGCCCTGGATGTTCCTGGACATCATCATTTCACTAAACACCTCTCTTAAAGTATGTGAATACTATTGAGGATGTTTGTTGAAGGGGAGGCGTAAAACTACACATCACAAAGTTAAATTCCCCTTTAACTGATGCATTTTTAATGTTACGTGATGAAACTACATAATGTTATGTGATGGAATTAAGACCAAATGTCTCTGTAGAACTGTATTACTCGTGTTTTTGGTGGGGTTTTTTTTCCTGCATTTGTCCTTTACTTTCAAAGGAGGGAACAAACTTTTTCAGGGCAGTTTTCTTAACTGTATTTTTTGCAAATGTTAAAATTAATCAGCAAAGACGTGAAGCTGCTGCTAAAACTCAGTTACTTTAACATGGAAATTTTACTTGGTGCTTTCCTTTTAAAAAGTGCATTGCTTTGTAATCTACCAGCAGCCCTCCTGTGTCTTCACCATCCCATTCATAACCTTCCTTTGATGAATTTGGGTGCTAAAGAAGACTGTGGTGAAATGTGCATCTCTTCCAAACGAGCCTTTGCTCAGCTAATTGCCTGGTAGCCATATATATAACTCCTAAACCTTGTGATATTGCACTTCGGCCTTAACTATGCTGTAGAATCATCAAATGGTTTGGGTTGGAAGGGATCTTAAAGATCATTGAGTTCCAACCCTCCTGCCATGGGCAAGGACACCTCCCACTAGACCAGGTTGCTCAAAGCCTATCTAAGATTTCATCTAAGATAATAAATAAGATAATGAAGATCTGGGAAGAATGTCAGTTACATTTTGCATCTCCAGTGAAGATTTTCAAGTAACAGCTGACCTTTTCTAGTTTTCTGTGCTGAGTTATTTCAGTCTTCTTTCATATTCACAATCCGAGCCCCTGAAGTGCTGTTACTTTGTGAGACTGTTCTTTCTAATGTTTTGAACTGTCTACTAATTCTATTACTTATTACTACTGTTAATAATTTGCAGGTTGGATGGAGTCAGGTTAGAAAATGGAAAAATTAATGTTGTCAACAAGAAGAATGGGAACAAACCGAAGTTAAATCAGAAGAAATGGTAAACTCTTTAAATCAAGCTTCCCCTACCCCCACCATCTTCCTTTTACACCATCTCTTTATCTTTTAAGTGTAGGTTAAGGTTGACCAGCTGTATTTTAACTTCTGGTGCACAGTTATCTCTTCCACAGTAACTCATGTTTGTAAGGTCTCTGTGGATGCTTATAGGCTGATGTGTGAATTGGGAATCTGGGCTAGATTACGTAGGGTGTAGTTTTACTTTTTTCTTTGCTGTACATTAGTGTGTTCTGTGGGTTAACTGAGTTGTAGAATACTAATGCCAGGAGAAATATTGTGGGTAACCCAGTCAAAACCAGTTTGACTTCTGCAAATATGCTTGCTCTGACAAGAAGATGACATGTATTGGAAATAAGAAAATATATATAACACTTTTAATAATAATTTTATAATAATATTTTTTTCTAATTAAGAAAAATCTCTGGAGTATCAAAGTGATACTTTATCAAAGTGATGCTTATTTATTAATTTCATGGGTGTGATTGGGTTATTCGTGCTCAAAGGCTTGGATAGTCTTTTTACGTAGTAAAAGCTACATTGCCTAAAAATAGCTTTTTCACAGAATTTGGATTACTTCACTCTTAAAATGCTTTGTCAAAGCTTATAATAGCCACTATTTTAAAAGAAATAACTAGCTTAACATAGATCCTTTGACTAAAATTAGCCCTAATTAATTTATTTGGCCATAGCAGTTTTGAAATAGTAATTGACCATGTTTTGAAGGAAATACTTCGGGTGGAATTTTGAGAGCTCGTCTTTGGACAAAAAAGTCTCTCTTGAATTTCTTCCTGTCCTTTTAGCTTCATTTCATATATTATTTTTACAGTTCAGGTGTGTTTTATTTTGAAGGATAAATCCTAATCTGCTAAAGTAAGCATTTATTTGTAGATTTTACAATGTGTAGCTGTTCTGAACAGTCATGGTTCTGATCCTGTTAAATCTTTTCTAGTTCATACCTCTGTGATGTGACCCTGAAATCTTTAGATGGAAAGGAATTCCCATGTCATAAGTGTGTCCTTTGTGCAAGACTTGGTATGTGTGCATATTTATACATATATATAAAAAAATATACACCGTATTGTCTATTTTAATTGAAATTTTACTGCATCTTGAACTGAAATGCCTTTCTTTGCAGATTATTTTCACAGCATGTTAAGCAGCTCGTGGATTGAGGTAAGCTTGCCAATAAACATGTGTGGTGGTATGTTTTGTTGCATCAAATAAGTGACAGCTTTTCAGTTTTTCCTAGAATTACATACCCTGAATACTAAGGAAAAGGAAAGGTTGAATTCTTGGATCTCATTTGCAAGAAAAAAAAATAACTGCACATTTTTGGTTACTCTATACTTATACTATTGAGATTATTACATTTATTACTCTCATTTAATTCACAATGTATGTCAAAGGAAATTAAGTATTGTTTTAGAGGTTTATTTTGAGCTAGCTCATTTATTTATGGAAGCTGCTGGACTCCTCTTATGGGATACTGCTTTGGGTGATTTTTCATTTTTTCTGTAAAAGATCTTACAATTTAAATAGTATGCAGAATGGAATAGCTTTTCATATGTCCTGAGTGAAATATACAGCAGAACTGAGAGTCACTGTGTAGACTCTCTAATTGACTTTTAATGAAATAGAGGATATTTCTCCTGGTTCCTCTTTGCTACCCTGCTATTTGAATTTGCTATTCGATGCCCTGGATGTTCCTGGACATCATCATTTCACTAAACACCTCTCTTAAAGTATGTGAATACTATTGAGGATGTTTGTTGAAGGGGAGGAAAGGTGTAAATGGAGAAGTGTTTTTCAGAGACTAAAAGCTGAAGGAGCACGCAAGAGTTTTCTCAATTTTCCCATTTTTGTAGCAATATGTAAATCTAAGAACCTGGCAAAGCACTGGCAGTTCCTCTGCTGCGTAACAGGAACTTTACCTGTCCTCTTAAATTACTGCCCTGCCTCATCCTCAGTCATCCATGAGGAAACATATCCGAAGCACTGTGAGACAAGTGATTGATAGATTATTTTTTCTTTGAAGTGTCCATTTGTATCGTTGATTTCTAGATCAATTTTATGTAGTTCATAAATTAGCCATTATTTCCTAAGGAAATCTAAATCATACTAAAGTCATAAGTAAATATTTTGTGAATCGAGTGCTCCAGATGTTGTGTAAAAATCTTAATATCTGTAAGAGGTTTTTAAACTTTGGGTAGGAAATAACATCAGCACCACTAATGTTCTAAAGCAAAAGAAATACTTTAGTGTAAAGCTTTGCTTTGGTACCACCTGAAATAACCCAAAGTTGTTAAGTAGTGATGCTGCATAAACTTGAATGGTGACAAATACATGGTTTAAAGGCTAGAGTTTACTTATTCAAAAGCTTTGCCTTAATGGTTTAGATGGTCCTTCAAATGGAGGGTTTGCTGAGGACCTTGGTTTTGGAGGGATTAACAGTAATGGCTACTTTCATTTTATTCTTGTGTGGGAATTTGGGATTTCCCTGGATCTTTTGCCCTGAAAGGGAAGCAGTTCACTACTTCCGTGATTCCGGGATTCCTGTAGTTCTGCTTTTAAACAGTTGAGGATAAAATAATATAATCAAGGAGGATTATTAGAGAAGATGCTCAAACTGATGAAACACTGAGCTGTTTCATGGATATTTATTCAGAAGTTTGGGCAGATATTAATTGCTTTGTTACAATCAATTACTAACGTAAGAATTTGAACACATTTTGTCCAAATGCTTAAATAATTGTTTAAGTTTGAAAATGTGACCCTCAGTCACTTGCTAAATAAAATTCTTGTGCAGATATTAATTGCTTTGTTACAATCAATTACTAACGTAAGAATTTGAACACATTTTGTCCAAATGCTTAAATAATTGTTTAAGTTTGAAAATGTGACCCTCAGTCTGAGTCACTTGCTAAATAAAATTGTTGGCTTAATTTTGTAGTCAGCTTCTTTTACTGGTATTCTTTGTTTGTTTGTTTCTAAAATCCTTTTGCCTTTTAGGCTTCCTGTTGTTCAGCTCTGGAGATGCCGATCCATTCTGACATACTACAGATCATTGTAGATTACCTGTACACAGATGAAGCTCTTGCTATAAAAGGTGCCATTAATATATTTTCAACTCAGCTGTAGCTTCTGCAGTTTTTATATTTTTAAAACAGAAAATCAATGTTTAATATGCTCATGTTTAAGTTTTATGTAGAAAATCTAAATTTATGTGACACTTGAACTGCAGATTGCCTCTTCCTTCCTTCTCTTGTTTCAAAAAGTGACTGTGCTCTTTTAAGTTATTCCTTGTGCTGTGAATATCCCACCTAAATTTGCAAAGCAATTACATTTGTCCTTTGGTAAAATCTCCTTGAAGCTCTACATGTTATAGTGGCTTTGACTTGCCCACAGCGTTTACATCCTGCTTTGTTTTCCAGATTCTCAGAATGTGGAATTCATATGTAATGTTCTTGTGGTAGCAGATCAACTTCTTATATCCAGACTCAAAGAAATCTGTGAAGTAGCCATTGCAGAAAAACGTGAGTTCTTCTACTTGTATTATAAAGGGTTAGAGAATAAAAAGTGATGGTTTTTTTAGATGTTAATGTTGTTTTCTATTTCAGCACAGAACTACTTGCTTAAATTCCTTTGCTCTAATTAACCTTTTCCTGTTCATTGCATAGCTCTTAATAATTGATTCTTTAGTCTGGGTGATGTTCTAGGTTAGCATAATTATCCATTCTTTTTGCAAGGTTGTCTTCATCTCATGTTCTCTAATGAAAAGAAAAGCCCTCCCACCCCCAACCACTACTACAAATAAGCCAAACTTTTACAAAACCTTCATTTCATTGAATTCAAACTTTTTGTCTTTAAAACATGATGAAATGTGTTCTGTGTTTCTATTTCTGTCCTTGTATTTAGTTCTACTAGTTCTTCTGTTGTTGGTTTGAGATGGTGCTGTTTCTATATGGCTGTGAAGGTCTCTCTTCTAGAAGACACTAAGTGTTGGTACTTACCTTCATACAAGAAGTCAGCAAGAAATTTTTGCTTACCATTTCTTAGTGACTTCCATTTTTTATTCTCTTTCCAGCCCTCTACTCCTTCACTCTCCCTTTTCTTTTTTTTCATCTTCCCTGCTAAGGGAATACTTGGAGCTTTAAGAACTGTTTATGTTGTATGTGAAACGTGCTATTTTTAACTTTCTTTTTCGCTGCTACAAAGTTATATGGAGCTTGCTATAGATTATGGCTGTTTGAACATTAGTGTTTCTTCTAGGAATGGAGAAGTATGTGATATATTTCAATAACTAGATCATGCCCTTCAGCATCTTAAATCCTGCCACGTGGTTTTGCGGCACGTTATCCGATTTATTTTGTTGTTTTTCTTCTTTGCAGTTACTTTGAAGAATGCTGCCGAGCTGCTGGAATTCTCAGCAATGTATAATGCTGAGCAGTTAAAACTCTCCTGTTTGCAGTTCATAGGACTCAACATGGCAGCTTTGCTGGAGGCAAGGTATGGAAGAACATGAACATATTCATGCTCTAGCTGTTCAATTCAAACATCTCTAAAAGGCAAAAGGGTTGGAAGAGCTAATGGGAGCAGTTAAATGTTAACATGCAACTGAATGCTGCTAGTTTAAAGGGAGGCTTATTTTTGCCAAAGAGGGAGAGAGAAATGAGTTAACTCTCTGTACATATTGTACCAGTTCTATAGTACAATGCTCTGTGTTACGGTTTGTTATGAAGAGCTTGAATTCAGGGGAAATAACCCTCCTGAATTCAGTGGGCTTTGAAATTAGGTCTGAGCTTATTTCAGTTTTTATATTGTTTTTGAAGATGCGTAAAACTGCTGGGTTTTTTATTGTTTGTTTATCTTTTTTTTTTTAAACCATTATAGTTACTATGCAAATAAAATTTATTTTAAGTAGGTTTATTGGAAAATGCACCAGCTACAAAAAGAATGGGCCTGCCTTCTCATACTCTCTTTGCTTTAACTGTCTGCAGTGAGGGCTTAAGAAATTGATTAATTACTTTTGCTTTCCATAATGATTCAGCTGGGGTTCTAAGAAGTTGAAGGTGTGCTCTGACCTTCCTTCTCTTGATGTTTTCAGACAGGGCTTCAGGTTACTTCCAGAGTACATATCACCTTCTCAGAGCAAGACTTATCAGCACTGATCAAACTTCTTTCTAACAAAGACTTTAACTTCCCAAAAAACAACACAACTCAACCAGATAAAAACCCCCTCATCTTTATTATTGGTCCACTCCATCCACTCCCAGGCTTTTTTGTCACACTTCCTTTTACCTATAGAAATTCTTCAAGATCTGAGCCAGCTTCATTACTGTGTGACACAACTGCTCTACTCTTGTATCAGACACAGGAATCCATTCATATTTACAATCTTCCTCCTCTCAACTTTCTAAACATTTTAACCTTGGATTTTGAAGAGAAGAGTAAAAACCTTATAACGTTGTCCTAAGTAGTATAAGCCTGGAAATGCCACACAACATTCTTACTACAAATAAGAATGTATCTGAATAGATCTGAATTTTAGTGAAAATTTGGAACACTCATTACTGGGTAGCAAGACTTTTAATTTGAGACACCCAAGGCATTTAGAACTTAAGACAGCTTTATGCAAAGAAGGCTACTTATGTGAGCAAAACAGTTCTGTTGAGTAAAGTTTGTTGATGTAGTATTACTTTTTGGTATGAATAGCAAGGGATATTGTGGCTGAGTCTTATAGAAGAATTTACTTAGACTTGGAGTGTTAGATACACATCAGGAAGACTAGAAAGTGTGCAGAAATAGGTAAAATAATGACCAGTTCGTGGTAACTTAACTGTATATATAGGCTGTGGCCTTACATAAAGGTAGGCTGTCAGGAATATTGTGGGTTTAATCCTACTTTATAACAGTGGCATTGACTAGTTTAGATTTTGTGTTCAATTTCTTCCTTCTGACTCTGTGATCACCATGAGTAGGTAATAATGCCTGTAGGTGAGATTTGTCTAAAACGTTAATTTGAATTTTTCATTAATGTGATGTATTTCTTTTAAGCTGGTAAAATAAATTTATATTTATTTTTTTAGGACTCTGGATGTCTTAAGTGATGAAGTTGTAAAGGATCTTTCTGTTTATTACAGGAAAATGGTAAGTGGTACAATTTGGGTGTAAGCTGATTAGGTTTAAGATGAGAACAGATGAGTAATAAATACATACCTGCAGGGTCTGTAGATGACAGGCTGAATGTGGAACATCTGACTCAAAAGCTAAGGTTAGCTCCTGCTATTATCACTCTCCTGGAGCTCATATTTCATTATTCACTGCTGCAACAGTAGTGTGTCCTTTAAGTTCATTAATTATACACATTAAATATTCTGTAATTAACAATTATCACATGAAAAACCAAAGCACAACCTATGGAAAAGAACATTTGCTACTTGAAAGGAGGAGAAAGCAAGGAGAAAGCAAATTAGACTTCTCCAGTGTAAAGGTCAGGGTGATCATATGGATCTTAAAAGCAGTAAGAAAAGGAATGTGAAAGCTGGACTTTAATGCAAAGGAGAAAACCAAGGCACATTATCATCCAGTGTTCTTTAACTGTACAGTAGTAAAAGATTAATGTTTGCAAAACCTTGAAGCATTTTGGGTTTTATCAGGAGTTACAGGCAGCTGAAATGTGCATCCTGAGTCTGTCACTTAAAATAATCTTCCTGCTGTTTTGCTTGAAGATGTAATTTAAGTTTACAAGTTGGTTAAATAATCAATTACTTGATCTGTAAAAGTTTTTCAAATGACAGTCACTTTTGGACCTTTTACAAGAGACCATCTATTTGCTAGCATACAACTTAAGAGAAACTTAATGTAATGACATTTACAACTACAGATTCCAGCTATGGTCAGAAGAGTAATTACTCCATATCCAGATGGACCTGATATAAGTTCTTTTGAGCCTGAAGATGGAGAGAACTTTGTCTTTCTAAGGGAAGAAATGAATGCAGAACAAAATTCTCAGTAAGTATTTATTTTTTATCAACATTTTTAACTTGGCTGAGCTGTATATGGCATTTATCCCTGTTTGGATGGTGCCTGACTCCCTTTGGGTTCGGAATAGAAATATTAAGAAAAAGAAGAAATGGAGATTTCAAAGACTGTTCTCAGTTTTCTGACATATTTTGAAATGTTACAGAAACTGCTTTTTTCAAATTATAAGTAGCATGTGAGTAAAGGCAGCAAAACAAGCATGTGCAGTAACGTCTGGGTGTTGTACATGTGATGAGAGTACCTGGGCTTGATGAGACCAACTGTAGAGTGAAGAATAAGGAAAAATCAAAAGAGAAAAAAATCAGACTTTATTGTACTGTAGATCTGTACAGAAAATTGTGGTAATCTACATTTCTTTAATGTTAAACAGAATTGTCAGGCAAAATAGGAAGTTTTGTGGCATGAGGTTTTTAATCTGTCAGTTTAAAGTGGCTACTCTCTGGCTGTAGAATAGCAAAACAAGCGACCTGTGTTTTAAAAAGGGTCAGAAAATGTGATCCAGACAACTGTAGATCAGGTAGTTCGGTTTTGTGGACTTTGTCTTTGAAGATTTATTCTGAAGACGTCGAGGTGAGAGCAGTAGAATCTGTAAAGCCTTGTCAGACTGACTTCATGTGCTGTTTTTCTCTGGCGAGCAAATAATACAATTACAACTGCTTTGTTTTTTTGGTCTGTTTTTCAAACTGGAGAAATGGACTGGGCCATCACAGCTATGAAAAGTTAATTTGCTAGGGTGGCTTGGTAACATTTTTTCCAACACAGGCAGTGAAATCTGATGTCCCTGTGCAGATGGGACCTCGCCTGCAGTACTGTGTACTGTTCTGAGCACTTGTGTCAAAAAAAGTTATGGTAAATGAACTAGTACAGATAAGGAGTAGCAGATCAGAGGAACTGAGAGCTTATTTTGTATTGGATATCAAGCCTTTCAGTGTTTTTAGGTACTTGACGATAGCCTTTAGGGAATAGGGCAGTCCAAGGACTGAAAAAAAAACCCAAACCAACCATTCTAAGGTTACAGTAGTGATGCAGGGATGAATAAGTACATATGTAGTTATTCCACAAAAAAGCTTCTCCCAGAAGCTTTTTGAAATAGGGCTACTGTAGCTGTGATTCATATAATTCTGAATTTCTACCAGTCTTGTTAAAAGGAAAGATGCCTTTTATTTGATCCCACTCTTCCTAGTATCATATATAGTAACCCATGACATTTTGGTAACATGACCACATACCTGTCTTATTGTAGAGGTAGATCATCTCGGTGGCAATATTTGTGTTGGGGAAAAATGAGTGGAGTTTGTTGAACTTCACTAATTTAGGAGAAATCAGAAGACACTTGGATGTAGTTGGCTTTATATCTGTTGCTGTGATGTGTAACAGGTTTCATCTGGCCTAGGTGGCAGTGCCAGCTTATGCTGCTGCTCTATCTTCTCAACAGAAGTCTTAGTGCAGGGTGCTAGACCAGAGACTAGATCTAGACTGGAAAGAGTTTTTTCTCTTCCTCCTGGATGTTTTTTTTTTTCCCCACAAATCATTTTTCTAACTAATTGTGCCAGTGCATAAGCAGAACAGGAACAAGTGGTGACAGTCAGAGGGACCAGGAATTACTGCTTGAAGTACAGCCGTTTTTTCTCTTCCTCCTGGATGTTTTTTTTCCCCCCCACAAATCATTTTTCTAATTAATTGTGCCAGTGCATAAGCAGAGCAGGAACAAGTGGTAAGTGACAGTCGGAGGGACCAGGAATTACTGCTTGAAATACAACTGTTGCTGCTGACTGAAAAACTTGACGTTGACACTGAGAATTTTGAGGCTTAATTTCTTTGGTTGAATCCATCTCGGGGTCTTTGTTTTTAACAGGGAAGCCCTTTTCAAAAAAGCAAAAAATAAAGCAAAAAAGAAGCCACGGAAACGGTCTGACAGCTCCGGAGGATATAATCTGTCAGATATTATTCAGAGTCCAGCTTCTACAGGTCAGTGGGAAAGAGGTATAAAAACAGAACCTAAAGTTTAATATGCAAAGCAAGTTGATGTCTGTACTTCAGTAAGGAAATCTTGCAAAAGTTATTTATTTTCTAGTGAATATCATAGTTGAATTTAAATAGGGAATTCTTATCATTTGAAAGCATGTTTGTCTTATTGAGCTTGTGCCCAAAATTCAGATTCTGTAAAAGCATGTATTTTATCAAATAAACTTAATGGACAGTTTCCCATGTGGTTTTAAAAAGTGGAACATTTCTGCTGATGTGTTTTTTGTTTGGTTGGGTTTTTTTTCTGGAATATAAAAAATAAATTAGTTGGTGTTTATTGGAAAGATGGTAGAAGCCTTCATCTTCAGCAGAAAAGTGTCAGTGTTCCTTCCTAAAACTGTGTATTGTGAGACAGAGAAAGAAAAGTGGAAGTCATCTTATTCTGAAAAAATATTCAAGTTATTCTTAAACTTGCTTATACTTATTCCAGTCTAGAATACTGGACTAGGGAAAATTCTGGTTATTTTGTATTCATCATATGGAGTGAATAACTTTTGGGGGTTTTTTTAAGCATTGTTTAGTCCAGCTCTTGTGATTTAATAGTTCTACTCTCTGTCTTCTTATTTCTTAGGCTCAGTAAAACTGGATAAAACTAACTCTGTAGAATCACTTCCAGACCTCTTAACATCTGACTCGGAAGGTAGTTACGCAGGAGTGAGTAGCCCCAGAGACTTGCAGTCCCCTGATTTCACAAAAGGATTTCATCCAGAGAAGACTGAGGTTGGATCTCTTTGTTCTTAGCAATTTGTTTGTGTTTATCTAGTTCATCAAAAGCAGAGTTTGTGTTGTGGATTGTTTCTGACAAACTGTTGTCCTTAAATGGAGTAGACAACTTTAAGTAGTTACTGTTTGTCTGATAAAGCAAATAAGAATGAGTATTCCTTATTAAGTCTTCTAAGGGTGTTCATGTGGTATCGTAATAAGAATTTTTATATATGCAGTGTCCAGAAAATTTCAAACTGAAAGAGCAATTATGTAAAGTCTTTATCTACTTAATTTAAAATGCAAAAGCAAATCTAAAGTTCAGAAGCCAAGAAACAAAAACAGAAGCCAGAAAACTCCAGGAAAATCCTGCTGTTCTTTGAGTACAGTAGTTGGACAGAAGTATGGTCCAGGATAACTGAGATAAGTGGCAAAGAGAAATAAGTTTGAGAGAAATGTGCCTATTTCAAGTGTTAAAGCTTTAAAAACGAATCTCTTTGAGTGAATTCTCCGCTATAAAGATGCATGTTTGGACTTAAATGATTCAGGGTGAACTGTGAAAATAAAAGTACAATTAGCAGACGGGTCAGGCATTCACTACATTATTGCTATTTTTGAGGTAGCCTTTAAAATCTTTTCACTGTAGTGTCATTCAAGTTGTTTGTAGGATCATGTTTATGGTGGGTTTTTTTTTTCCTAAATGAAAAAACGTGAGAATATTAATTCAACATTTTCCTGTCTTTTTTTTTTAGATGAAGGACAAAGCGTGCAGTCAGGGTATGAAACCCTCTCCACCTCACAAGGAGTTGAAGTCATACAAGGGCTCACCAGCACTGACACAGTCTGTCCCACAGTCCATTCCCAGTGCTAGAAACAATTCTGCCAGCTCTCCCAATTGGGTAGCAACCAGTTTCAGGTGGAGTAACTGCTGTGGTGCCTACATAACTTTTAATCACTGTTCTACACTTTGAAATGTAGAACACACTTCAAAATGATCATATATTACTTGACATGTGAACTAAAGATTTTGATAGTTTAATACAACTGGTATTTTTTTAATTATTCTTTGAGAAAACCAATTGTTAGATACATTTTTTTTTTTTTTTTTTTTCTTAAGTGCTACCAGTCTGGACTTCTAATATGTTTTTTTTTTCTTTTTTAGAAGGTCTACCTGGTTAACACTTTGTAAAATACTTGGCATTTTTTTTGTAGAATCAGACCATGCCTGAAGCCATTAGAAGCACCATTGTACTTTGACATTTTTAAGACATGCCTTTTAGACTTAAACAGTCTGTGAAAATCAAGGCCACAGGTTTAACTGATGCAGTAATAAAAAAGATTGATTATTTAATTCATGTGTATTTCTCTGGAAGATTAAAATCAGGTCACTTACGAAGAGGAAACAGATTCCTAAAGTTGGAGAATATTACTAGTGTTTGTACAGTGCTCCAACTTTGCAAAGAGTGTTCTGTTTGCCATGTGAAATAACTTTAATCCTGTTCTTCAAAGAAAGATCTTATTCAACCTTCACGAAAGAGCTGTGAGTGATGAGTCTCCAGTACTTAGCATGAGCAGTTGACTGCTAAATAAGTATCCTGCATTTAGGTATCTAATTTTTTTTAAAGTAATCATAGTTCACATCTTTTTGTTTCATAGTATAATGAGTCCTGAAAGTATTTTTATAGCATGCACTTAAATATGTATGTATTTATAAAAGTTTTGTCAGAAACATTCTATTTGAGGTTTGCCATAATTGAGGAAACAGACATAAATTATACATCCGGTTCCCAATCTTATATATGATTTAGAGAATTTCAGTGAAGGCTGGAACTGTGGAATGTAAGTAAAAATGACCGCCTTGTGAGGTAACTTTTTATGTTTTCATTTAGCCCTGCCAGCCCTCCTGCTATGGACCTAAGAACCATCATGGAGATTGAAGAAAGCATGCAGAAATGTGGAACCATGCCAAAGGCAAATTCAGGGTTGGTAAAAAACCAATATCTATAAAAGAAAAGCGTGACTGGGCTATTATGAATTTACTTAGCGGTTCAGGCAGTTCAGAGTTCAAAACAAGCAGGAGAAAAGTTGTCCTGTTTGTTTTTGAACGACTTAGTTTACTTCAGTTCATGATAGTGTTTTTCTGGGAGCATACAAAATGTATCCCTTTATTTTACTTTATAGTAAAGTTTGGTCAGCTACTGCAAAAGCACGTCTTAGCTGTTGAAATGTGAAACAGTGAGCTAGTATCTGAAATCAGTGGCCTGCTCTGCTGAGCTTTCCTGTTTCCAACCAAAAAAAGAACTAATTCTTGTCACTAGCACTTCGGGAATTACTTGTGGACAAGGACTGTAGTTGATCCTGAAGTTTATTTCTTGTCCCACATTCTCTGACGTCCCCCAGCACCCGTGTGTTGATACTGAGAATTCTTCCTCAGCAAGTGTGGTTCTTGCTTGGAGGACCATCCCAAAGACACAAGGAGATAAAAGTACATTTTCAGGAGGCAGTGGATTAAACCTCATGTTTTTTAACTGGTGATCCATGGAAGAGAACTGGAGATGACTTTCATGACCTTTGGAAAGTAGTGTTCTTTTAAAGGAGAGCTAGGACAGAAGTCCTGGAGCCTAGGAAAGGGTTGCTAGCTAGGGAGATTCAGAAGCTGTGACCAAAACTGCCAAGACTGAAGAATCCAAATAACATAGAAAGAAAATTATTACAAATAGAAAAAAAAAATCTATATTATGGTGTATACATTTCTTATGCATGGATATTTTTGGTTTAAGGGAGCTAAGCTTCTGGCAGTCTCTAAAATGTCACAAAATTAGAAAATAGTCTTCATCTGGTGCTATTCCACCTCTTTTGGAGACTTGAATCCTGCTCTGCATGTTTTCATTTGTAGATGTCTGTGTGAAAAATAGTTTTCTGATGCTTTTCTTTCTGTCACTCTTGATATTCATTGAACTTCCTTTTGCTCCCCAACCATCCAACCCTTCCCTCCCACCCCGACTTCTACTGCCCCCCAACCTATACTCCCCTTCTGCTGTTCCTGACGAAGTATTTTGGTCTAGGAAAGAAGTATTTCTCAGTTTAATTTGTAAGATTAAAGGTGAGTCGTCTCAAAGGCCATTGTCTTACATCTCTCTTTGCCATAACAATTCACAGCAGAATGGCGTCTCATGGCATCAAGCTTTCTCAGAAGCAAAGGAAGATGATTGCCCTGGCAGCAAAAGATAATGGAGCAATAACTGGCAGCACAGAACCTACTGCATTAATAACCACACCACCCCCGCCTACAAAAGTTGCAAAACTAGGGAATGCATGGTATGGTATAAATCAAATATCCCTTCTTTTTCTTTGGGGGGTTTTTACAGTGATTAGTCTCTTAAATGGAGTTTCTTAAATAAAAATGGTCTAGGTTCTGCTCACTAAAAAGCCTGGCACTGAACTGTTTGTATCTACATTTGGTAGTAATCTAGAAATTCAAAGGGGGCAGGGAAATGGAGCGGTTGCAGTTTAACAGTTCTTTGAAATTTTGCTATGGTGAGTCAGAGGACTGCATCCCATCTGGTTCCTGCCTGTGTGTGATGTGGTATTTACAGATGGTATCAAAGTGAAGTCTAGAAAAAGAAGGTTGAGCACGAGCTTTGAAACTTAGTCAGGAAGACGTTATTGAAAACCATTATGAATGTGTTGTTTGTTTTTTTTTTTTTCTCTGTCAAAAACAGAGGGGGGAAAGGGCTAGAATGACTTTGGGGTAGAGCAAAAATAGATGTAAATTATAGATAACAAAGTTACCTTGGTGGCTAGGAGCTGGAGGGAGTGATGGATGCTGCTAAGAATTCTTATGCTGGAAGGACACATGATGGGTTTAAAATTACTTCTAATGCTGATTGCCCACAATCTAAATGTTCAAGTTTAATATCACTGTATCAAATAGAAAAATGGTTTACCATCTGTTCAATGAACTAGGGTCATAACATCGAATGTAATGAGGCGCTCGCCCAATTCCTGCTTTGTTCTTTGTGTTTACAGTTGGCATTGGATGAAAGCATAAAGGCATAAATGCAAAAGTTGCAAGCTGTGTAAATTTAATGAGTTTAATTGTTACAGATTAAATACCTATGTGCATTCTGGGCAGTTCTGCTCCTTTTCCTCTTCGAGAAGGTCTAGACTTGAAGCGCCTTTAGATTTATTTGAGATTCTACAAGGTCTGTTGCTACGCTCTTATCTTAGTTTAAGACCACAGTAATCACAGTAATATCCCACATAAAAATGGTAAAACAGAGCTGGTGTTCAGAATATTTATCAGTAACTTACAGAAAAAACTGTGAAAGTATGTTGTAGTCCTCCCAAAATCATGAACTATAAATTAGCTAATAATTGATTCTGAATTGGTGTTCTACATGCAGTTATGACACCAGAATAAGCTTTATTTCTCTAGTGGACACCATGCAGTACGTTCAGCCTCATGGTTAGAGGGCTTTAGTATTTTACAGGGGTCATATCAGTCTGATCTGAAATGGGCAGTTGTTTTGGGGAATTCAAGGTAATGTGGCTTGATGTGTCCTTCAAGCAGTGATTTGGACAGTGATCACAGAATGATGGGGGTTGGAAGGGACATCTGGAGATCATCCAGTCCAAGCCCCTGCCAGAGCAGGGTCACCCAGAGCAGGTCCCACAGGAACGTGTCCAGGTGGGTTTGGAATGTCTCCAGAGAAGGAGACTCCACCACCTCTCTGGGCAGCCTCTGCCAGGGCTCTGCCACCCTCACAGGAAAGTTTTTGCTCATGTTCAAATGGAATTTCCTGTTCCTGAATACCATCCATCTATTCTTCTACTCTCTGATAGATATTTCTTTACCTCTTGGGTGTTACTTAATTTTCACTACCACCTGAACTCTTCCTTCCTTTTAAAAAGCAAATACAGACTGATTTTTGAAATAACTGTCTCCAGAAAATATATTGTGCTCTTAAGATTCTGATTAAAGTTTTCAAAAGTGGTTGGGCTCTACTGTGTCACACAAACCATCTTGAGTTGCAAGGCCAGGATATACTTCAGGAGGGTGGAATTTGGTCTAAAGCTGATGTGGTCACCATGCAGGATTCTGCAGCGTTCCTCTGGCTGCTGATCTGGAAAATGCTGGTAGCTCAAGAGTTCAAACAAAGAACCAGTGGGGGGTATATGAATATTTAAGATTACACCTAGCTGCTGAAAGAGAGCATTTGTTGAATAAACTTTCAGCTATTTCAGGCAAGGCATCAATTATTTGGTTGCTCCTACAATCCTTACCCTTCTGCTCTAATATTGTATTTGCAAAGTTATATTCTGGAAATTCACAATGGACTATTGGAGTGCATTTGGCAACAGATTGAGCTTTCCACGCGTGCAGTGTAGTCAAAGGCACAGGACTTGTGTTCCAAGGAAACAAGATATTCATCTTGGATGTGCAGTGAGTGCTCTTGCCAGAAGGGTGGAGGACCTTCCGGCTCTCTTTTTTTTGGTTGACTAAAAAACAGAGTCCGTCATGCACAATGTCCTACCTTTTCCCACCAAAAGAAACCTCTAGTTTCATAATTTGTGGGGGGACTGGACCTAGATTTTCCTCCTTTGAAGAAAAGTGGAAATTAGAATTAAAATATCCCATTAAAATATCCCATTATTATTACTTTGAGAGTGTTTCATGCAAGAAGCTAAGTGTTAACTTCTCCAAACCTATTTTGATTGAGGTAGGGGGCTGTTTTTAATTTTTTTGGCTTTTTTTTTTTTTAAGAGCTCGAGAGAGCCTTTGGCTTTTCAAGAGTGGAGGCATAAAGAAATTTGATGTCTATCTTCAGAATTAACAACTGTATATTTTAATGTCTAGGTTGGCAGCTTGTCAGTATTTCAGTTTATACTGAAACACCAACACCTGTTTTGGAACTTCGTGCTTTGATGTTTTGCAGTTAGAGCTTGGAGAAACTTAGTCATATTCCACTTTTTAAAAAAGATGTATAAATTAGTTTTTCTAATGCTAAAAATTTGGTAGAAATGGCAACGTATGAGGCAGGACAAGCTGAAATTTAGAGTTGTTACTGTGTGGAAAATTTGTAACAGTTGAAGCCAAATAATTTTAAACCACTGATAATTGTTTTGAATGGGTTCACAAGCTGAGAATCGCTCAGGATTGGGTGGGTCATTGGGTTTTTGGGGTTTTTTTGCAGGGTGGGTCTGCCTTGGGATTTTGGGGATTTTTTTGGTGCTGTGTTGCAGGTGGATCCAATTGCAGTACAGAATTTTCCTGAAAATGAGTAGTTTATGTATTAGTAGCAGAAGAAGCTTCTGCTTCATTGCTTGGAACTCAATGGTCTTTAAGTTGCCTTCCAACCCAAACCATTCTATGATTCTGTGACAGCAGATCCCAAAGGAATCATTTGCCCTCTAGATACAGTAAATTTGGGGAAGTTCTGGTCAAACACTTTCCTGGACTCTTGTGTGCCAGCTGGTGGTAGGAACAGAGGATGTGCAAAATAACTCTGAGCTCCTGCCCTTTGAAAGTTCTATTTCTGCTTTCTGTGCCTTCTGCACTGCTCTTTTAAGTATTTATATTCTGATGTTTACCTTCTTGATCCAAAGGGACTAATTTTAGTGAATGGGGTCCAATAGACATAATGGTGAGGTACAAAGGCTAAGTTCTGTTATATTTTTATTTTTGGTAACTGAAAAGGCCCTTTTTGCTTTTTGAATCATGGAACAATGTGGAGTCCTAGAAAGTGCAAGTATAAAACGAGTTGTTCATTTTATTTATTCATTAAGGTCATCTTCATTACATTCTGCTTTGCCAAAGTCATTCCGTGATCTTGTGATGGAAGAAGAAAAATCTTTGAGTGCAAATAATTCACCTGGTTCTGGTGTCAAAAGAGCTGGATGTAAAGGAACTGAGGATTCATCAGTCCAAAACACCACAAGGTAAGAGCAGAATTTTCCTAATTGATCAACCATTATACAAGTACCCCAATAACCTTTCTAAATTCTGCTGAAATAAGGAAGGATGGAAATGTGATTTTAAAAAAAACAAAACAAAACAAAATCCTCTAAGCATTTTTTTAATGATTCTGTTAATAGAATTTTATGAACAAAATACTCTTATGAATAGAAAGCTTAAAGACTAAGGCAATTGAATGCCACTGCTAATACTTTGGGGTTCAAAGTGTTAACATCCATATAGATGGACTTGAGTGTGTGTACATTTGTACACGTGTGTATGTATAGAAGTTATAACCCTTTATTTTCTAACTTTTATAGAAATTATATATTCTTTTGCATTCAGATAGAGCATGAATGAAACAGAGTTTGCTTTAGGAGTATTTCTGTGTAACCACTGGGTGGATAAAATCAGTTTATTCAAACACAGTTCTTGCCTTTCCTCATCTGAGTTTTCTTATAAACTGATTTAATTGTTAGGTATAGTTTTTAATGGATGGAGAGGGCTTCCTGAAATAGTGATGCATCGGTTACATCTGTGTATTAGAATTACTGGGAGACTTCAATTCTAATACTAATTCTTTGCAGAGCCTGTTGGTGCACAGGGAGCCCTGACACCCATTACCTCCCAGTTTCTCTCCCGAGTTCCTGTTCCATTTACCTCCAAAAACTCTCCCCTTTATATGGAAAAGAAAGTTCTCCTGGGCCTCCCTCTTGGTTGCTCAGCTTGTACAGAAACTGGTGTTTCCCTAGGATGGAAGTAGTACGTTTCCTACTGTAGATATAAAGAACAAAATGAGGGTAGAAATACAGGAACATTGTGTGTGGGATGGTGTTAGAGGAGAGATTTGGAGAGTGTGTGTGATGGGTGAGTATTTTCAGGAACAGAGGGCTAAAGCTGAAGATGATGTGGTGAGTGGAGATGTAGGGACACAAAGCACAAATCTGCAGGAAAACAGGTATCGTTAATTTTGTTGCTAGTAAAATAATAAAGCTTTGCTCACATGGGAGATGGCAAGGGCTGGCCATAAGGGAATTAGCACTGGATGCTGTTATTTACCTTGTCACACTTGCTCTGTGATCTTCATAAAGTCATTTCTTCTCCTTTGCATTGCTCTGTCCACTCTCAAAGTGGATTATTTGAGCTGAACCCAGTCCTAATACATTACCTGTCTGAAAATGATACATTAAGCTACTGGGAGCCCAGATGACTTAGATTGACTATAATCAGTTGGAAAAGTCGGCAATTCCAGAGCTATTTCAGGTTTTGAATTGTGTTGAAGATGCTTATTTCTCTCTGTTAGGTATAAAGAGCCCAGGTGACTGGTTCATCTAGCTGAAAGTTAGGAGTTCAGTTTCTAGTTTGAGGTAATTTTCTTCTTTGACTGTCCAGTTTCTGTCACAGTAGGCTCTGATTTGTGCTTGCAACATTCGAGGGGTATTTCTGTGAAGATTAATTATCCACACTCTACCTTTTTAAGGAAGGGAAATTGTGTGTGTGTAGAGCGTAAGTAATCCTCATCTGTTGGTGTCAGACTCGCTGATGGGACACTCAAGACACTTGTGTGGCTTCTGTTCCTGGTTTGTGATTTTAATTTGGATAAACTGTGTAATAAAAATGGTGCCCCATGAAGTAATCCTCAGCTGTTCATGTCAGACTCGCTGATGGGACACTCAAGACACTTGTGTGGCTTCTGTTCCTGGTTTGTGATTTTAATTTGGATAAACTGTGTAATAAAAATGATGCCCCATGTCTCTTCTTCCAGTTGCCAGTTCCAGTGCCATGTAGAGCTCCATGTACCTTTTCTGGGATCAGCTATATAAAAATTCCTTTCAGCCAGGACTTGTTCCTCCCTTTCTTGGACATTCTTTTTGGAAGCTAGGGGCTCTGCTGCCAGAACATGCTCCTCTGGGCTGCCCTTTCCTCTTCTGAAGGGGTTGCAAGCCCTTCAGGAGCTGGTCAGGGTGTATTTCTCGTTTTGTTTTGTTTCCACGTTCAGTAATAAAAATGGTGCCCCATGCCTGGAGGGATTTAAAAGATGGGTTGATATAGGGCTTAGAGACATGGTTTAGTGATGGTTTTTATCAGAGTTAGGTTGATGGTTGGATTGGATGATCTGAAACTGTTCCTGGTTTGTGATTTTAATTTGGATAAACTGTGTAATAAAAATGATGCCCCATGCCTGGAGATGTTCAAGGCCGGGCTGGATGGGGCTTTGACCAACCTGGTCTGGTTGCAGGTGTCGTTGGACTAGATGATCTTAAAGGTCCCTTCCAACCTAGACAATTCTATGATTCTATTTACTGTGTTCAAGGCCGGGCTGGATGGGGCTTTGACCAACCTGGTCTGGTTGCAGGTGTCCTTGCCCAGGGCAGGGGTTGGAACTGGATGGTCTTCGAGGTCACTTCCAACCGAAATGTTTCCATGATTCTGCCTGGAGGACAATCTGGAAGTCTCTTCTTCCAGTTGCCAGTTCCAGCCCCATGTAGAGCTCCATGTAGCTTTTCTGGGATCAGCTATATAAAAATTCCTTTCAGCCAGGACTTGTCCCTCCCTTCTTTCTGAAGCTAGGGGCTCTGCTGCCAGAACACGCTCCTCTGGGCTGCCCTTTCCTCTTCTGAAGGGGTTGCAAGCCCTTCACGAGCTGGTCAGGGTGTATTTCTCGTTTTGTTTTGTTTCCACGTTCATGGCTTTGTAAACTAATGTTTACAAGGGGTTCCCTGGAGGGGTTCAAGGCCAGGCTGGATGGGGCTTGGAGCAACCTGGTCTGGTGGGAGGTGGAGGGCAGGGGGTTGGAATTGGATGGTCTTCAAAGTCACTTCCAACCCAAACCATTCTATGATTCTCTGATAATTGACAGTTTTCTCAAGTTTCTGGATGAGGCCTTTTTGATGGTTGCGTAAACACTCTTCCATATACCATCACCTTCCAGGTTTTAATTCCAGAAATTTTCTGGAGATGAACCATGTCATGGATGTGGGGATGTGAGCTGGGTCTGGTCCAGAGGCGGATCGGCCCCAAAGCTGGGCTGTGCAATTGTGGCTGCCTCATTTGCGGGGTCAGCTCAGCCTTGGGAGGTAGGCTCTGCAGCTGGGCATGTGGAACTCGTAGTCCAAGCTGAAAACATAGCCCTGACATGACTTGACTTTTGTTGTGGCAGCCTGGTTTGTCTTCACTGTGTTACTCCAGGGAGCTGTGAAGAGTCTTGGTGGAAAGGAGCCTTTGTGGCTTTGCGTGGGAACAGCCTAGTTCTGGCAGGGCTAAGAGTGAGCTAATGAGTAGAACATGACTCAAACAGGGCAGCAAAACCCAAGAGGTTCTGCAGGAGACCAGGCTTTTTGTGTTCCTTTTCTGAGAGCAGTCATTAGATGAGGGAGGCACAGGACCTGAGCTGGCTTCCAGTGGACAAATCCTCTGTAGAAAGGCTGGGGAGCAGAGGGCTGGGACAACTTGGTGGCTGCGTAGGAGTCACGGCAAGTTCAGCCAACTGAGTTCATCAGGTTGGGTCAGAACTGATGACACTTGGCTGGTTTGTTCCCATGCAGAACCACTTAGGTCTCTGCATCGGTCTTTAATTTTCAAGACTGCCAGGTTTCCAAGTTCTATATTTTTGAGGCTTTTTTTCCCATTTTTCTGTATATTCTAGCTTCCCCTTTCCCGTCTGTTCCACTTCTCTCAGTTTTTTGATGCCAGCTGAGGAATTAATGTAGCATGTTGAAATATCTGCAGTTAATTTAATATCTGGACCGAGTGTCTCGCTAGCAAGAGACACAGATGCACAAACAACTTCAAAATATCTGAACTGCTTCCTACATTTTTAAAGCCACATTTCAATTGCAGGAGATGACACAGGTATTGAAACTTATCTTTTAATTGATCACTAGAGTGTGCTGTGACACTGGAACTATTAGGACCAGCTTTTGGAAATTCCTGTTGTGGTGAGGTTTTTTTTTGGTTGTTTGGGGTGTTTTTTGAAATTCCTGTTGTGGTGAGGTTTTTTTTTTTTGGTTGTTTGGGGTGTTTTATTGGTTTGTTAGTTTAGAAGTCTTACTCTGGAAAGAACTTAGCTGTGCTGAAGCAGGTTTGTTAAGTATAACAGTCTCCTTGGGTTCATTTATAGTAACACTGTGAATACTTTGACTTCTGAGTGGGAAGAGGAACGTAGCTGTCAAATGGGCTGAATAGGTGTCAGTTACTCTTACGTGTGCAGGAAGGTAAAAAGCAGGTGGAAAAAGAGATAAAGTTGAGAGATGATGCTAGAATAAAGGCATTCAGTTAGTTGTACAAACATGCTCTTCATTAAACAAACCAGCAAGCAAAAAAACTGCCTTCATCTCCTCTCCTTCCTTCCTTTTCTCTGGTTCTTTCCTGCTTTTTATTGTGGTGTTATCTCTCTTAAGTACAGTAAAAGCTGATTTATGTAGACTTCAGCTAAGAAGTAGTCCCCTGCTGTTGAAATCCTAGAATAATTTAGATTCTCTAGCAGCCTCCTGCTCAAAATAAGTCAAACTGGATCACGTTGCTCAGGGGCTGCTCCAGTTGAGTTGTGACTGATGCCAAGTATGAAGATACCCCAACCTTTCCAGGTGACATGTTGATCATCCCCCTAGTGATTAACCCAGCTGTAAAGTGAGTAAGGAATAAGGTGGGAGAGGTAAAAGAAACTTGTTTAATAAACAAACAAATAAATAAATGGTTCTGTGGTTCTTGACTCAGTGTTTTTCTTACAGAGTATGCTCTGTCTGTGACTTTCACTCACCTTTCCTAGAAGTAGCCCAGGTCTGGAAGATCATGTTCTGGATTCTGCGCACCTGGAGAGTCATAAATAAGTTTGCTAGTGGCTTAGACTCTGGAGCTTGTCTTCTGCCTGTTGTGCTGATCATGTTTGGGATGTTGCCTCATTATGTCTTTCATTTTTTGTTGGGTTTTTGCTGGAGCTTGTCTTCTGCCTGTTGTGCTGATGATGCTTGGGATGTTGCCTCATTATGTCATTCATTTTTTGTTGGTTTTTGTTTTTTTTGCAGTCCATGGGTAGCAGCATCACCATCCCGTTCTCCTGTGACGGCGCCCGTCATGTTTTCGGCCATTGTAGAAGAAGAGCTCCAGCAAGAAGCTGCTCTCATTAGGAGCAGAGAAAAACCTTTGGCTTTGATCCAGGTAGATGGATTTTTTACCATCCTTTATCCCACAACTTTCTGATGAGGGGGTCTGTAGCAGACATGCATTCAGAGAAAAACCTTTGGCTTTGATCCAGGTAAAGGATAGTAAAAAAAATCCATCTATCACACTACTTTCTGATGAGGAGGTCCAGGACCAGTAAAATCCAGTTTGTAAACCGTGTTGCTGGTGTAAATGTAGATCTGACACTGATGTACGTGTTCTTTTTCTCCTTCCAGATTGAGGAATGTGCTATTCAGGATTTATTAATCCACTACGAAGCTTTTGACAACCCCGATGAGTTTGTGACTGTCGAAAGGGCTCCGCAGGGACCTATAGCAGCACCCATGTGGAACAAGCACTAATTTCTACTCTTCACAGTCCTTCTTGTGTTTGCACTTCCCAAGTTGTGTAATTCTTCTTACAAACGAAACGGGACTGGAAAAAACAGGAATCGTGTAGTTTTTAACATCAGCATTAAAACGCTGCACATAATCACTAGGTGTTTGTTGGAGAGAATGGAAATAACGTGCTCACTGTGTCCTTTACCCACAGTATATATATTGTATGTATGTTTTGAGAGAATTTCTTTAACAAGACATATTATTAGCGGTGTTCCACGAAGCTGTAGATTGGAAATGCATTTACTAATCTTCAGTTGTGAGGGTTTGGGGGATTTTTTTTGTTTGTTGTTAAATTCACAGACGGCTGAAAAGCGAGTGCTTCTTTTGTGATTTAATGTGGAATTGAATGTGCAGAATTACACACCTTTAAAGCTCGGGGGTGGGGTGGGGATATGTTCTTCAGAGCTTTCTGGCAAATTGGGAATATTTGGGGCGAAAAAAAAAAAGTTTGTGCTTGAACTTGGTGTTAAAAGTACAGTTTGATAACGCGGTTTTCCTTAAGCTGTGTGTGTCAGTACTGGTTCCTCTGATTGTTGTGGCCAGTACTTTTTGCTGTCCTGCTCCACAATGAACCTCTGTCCTCACCATGGCCTGCCTCACTTCAGTTGTGCATGTTTTTCCCCCTCTCTTGGAGCCATGGGGTGAGTAGAACGTGGTGGCACTTCGTTAGCTCCTCTATAGTCTTATTCTGGTAAATATGGTACAGTTTTAGAACCACCGTGTTTGAAGGTACAACTCACTCGAAGTTCTTGAGGAAATAAAAGGTCTGTGTGGTAAAACTCTAGGGGCGAGCGCTTGACTCTGGAACTGTCAAACACCCAAACCTTCAAAGATTATCATAGGTGGCTTTCGGTATTGTGTGTTCCAAAGTTCTCTGTGCCTGGTTTAAATGAATTTATATCTATATATAAAAAACAAAAAGTAAAAAAAAAAAGTAGCCTTATCTGCACTATTCTGTCTAGTTTGTCTGTTTGTGTAGGTGTGTTTGAACTTGGACTTTCTCAGTAGTGTCACTAACTCCCCAATTCTGGAAAACTGGAATGGAGAGAGCTACGTAAAATGAATGTAGAGAATTGATCACTGTGTGATAAAAGAATCTTGGGGGTGGAAAAAAAAAACCCAACAACCCTATGTAGATGTGTCTTATGGTTTCAGGTCAAGCTACACCAAAAAAATCTCCTCCTCCTCCCAAATTGTAAACAAATGCAATAAACCATAAAATCTTGATTTACACAAAGTTAGTATACTTCTATGTGCTGTGTATATATAATCAATGCTTTAGGTAATTCTAAGGGAATCTAGAAGTATTTCTTTTGCATATGAAACAAGAACTGTAGGCATTTTGAAGCTACACACGCAAAGGAGGGTGTAGCTTTTAATTCTATTTTTAAATTCAGTGGATGATTCATTGGCTGATGAGAATACTCGTTAAGTGCTTTACTTGATGCATTGCGGGGCCTTGGGACTTGCTGAAACTGCCCTCTGAATTAAAAAACGCCTCTAAAACCAGCTATAAAAGCCTTTCCAGGTGTGAACCCAAGTTGTTCTCAAATATAAAATCATGGTAGAGTTCCTAAATTTTGCATATTGATATTTATTTTTGTTTTCAAAGTGAATTAGGATATGCTTTTTAATGTCATTCTCCTGACGTTATAAGAGGATTCGTGCTTCCACTGTGCCAAGGAGCTTGACTGCTTACTGGTTCTGGGTTTATTGTTGCAGTTTATTTATTTATCATCACTGATTATACTTAATATTCACCAAAAAAAAGAGAGGAGCAATTGGTGTTCTGCTCTTCTGAAAATGAGAACATTTTTTTAATACTGCTGTGTTAGAACAGCTTAAAGTTAAGGCTGAAATGTGTCACAGAAACCTGCGTAAACTTACAAATTCCATCTTTATTTACCTTAAAAGAAAGACAAAATAGAAAATATAAAAAGCATTTGAAACATACTTAAGAAATTCAAATTATAGTGGAAAGAGAAATGAAAGTTTCTGAATCCCTGGATACGCTCTGCGGATAAAAAACATGAACAAAACCCCAGAACAAGGCAGTTGCATCAACACATGTAAAGGTCTTTCTGTGGAAGTGGTGGAACCTTAAATTTTCTTTAGTTGTGTAATTTGCTTTGATAGAAAACTGTCATTTCCCAGGTTAACTTGAGGCCAGAATATATATATATATATATTTTTTTTTTTTGGTATGGATCTGAGAATTGTGGTTGTCATTTCCCAGGTTAACTTGAGGCCAGAATATATATATATTTTATTTTTTGGTATGGATCTGAGAATTGTGGGCTGGTAAAGCCTTGATAGATTGCTGCCTCCTCAGACCCGAGCCACGCTCAAGTAGAAGATGAGCCTTTCTTTCTCATCGGGTCATTTTGCTGTCCTGTAACTCTGCAGGAACGTGTCCCCTACGTTTGTCAGCTGGTGACCCAACCCCTGGCTATGAGGAAACAGCTGCCCATCTCGTGGGTGGTGTGGTTTGGGGTGGGAGGATGCCAGGTGACCTTTGCTTTAAGCCCAGGGGCTGGTTCTGCTACGTGAGCCTGGCAGTGATCCCTGTCGGTGGGTGAAGAGGTCATGAGAACACCTCTCATGGGAACACAACCTCCTGTCAACTGTGATCCATCAGCTGTGACAGCGTGACTGGGGTACTTTCTGTTTCTTCTGAAGAGGACCTTCTGCTCTACGTTATGTCCTTTGTGGTTAGAACCGTGCTCGTGTCATCTGGTGACACATCAGCAAAATGTTTCTTCTGAAGAGGACCTTCTGCTCTACATTATGTCCTTTGTGGTTAGAACCGTGCTTGTGTCATCTGGTGACACAGCACAGGTGATACATCAGGAAAAAGAATCATGGAATCATAGAATGGTTGGAGTTGGAAGGGACCTTAAAGATCATCAAGATCCAACCCCCTGCCCTGGGCAGGGACACCTCCCACCAGACCAGGTTGCTCCAAGCCCCATCCAACGTGGTCTTATAAAGAACGTATTAAGGCTTTGGGCAACCTGCTCTAGTGGGAGGTGTCCCTGCCCAGGGCAGGGGGGTTGGAACTAGATGATCTTTGAGGTTCCTTCCAACCCAAACCATTCTATGATTCTAAGTTGTCTTCTGCGTTCCTCACGCACGGGTACAGATATTTTTCTTTATCCTTTTCCCACCGTGTGCCCGCCTTTGAGCAGAGGTGGAATGGAGCTGTGAGGCTGTGAACGTGGTGGGGCTTCCAGGATCAAATCTTTGTGTTGCCCAAGCAGCTGGAGGAGGATGTGTGTGCGTGCACGTGTGCCTTACCCTGACTCCTCCTCCGCTCTGTTTGCAGTAGTAGAACTGAATGACATTGCGCCACTTCAGCAAACAGAGTTAAGGTGTTATCTCTCCATCTGTGTGCACTGAGCGGTGGGGAACCTTTTCATCTGGACTTTTAATCTCCTCCCTTTGCAAATGTTAACAATTAAACCTGGCTGAATTTGGGAGGCACACAATAACTGGGAGGTCTTATCCAGCTTCCAGGCGGTGGCCATCAACACACAAGTCATGAGTTGGTTCATCTGATGTTAAGCAGTAAAGTTGCTCAAGGCCTCAAGTTGCACCAGGGATGGTTCAGATTGGAGATTGGGAGAAATTTTTACACAGAAAGGGTTCTTAAGCCTTGGAATGGGCTGCCCAGGGAAGGGGTTGAGGCACCATCCCTGGAGGTATTGAAAAGATGGGTTGACACAGCGTTCAGAGACACAGTTTAGTGATGGTTTTTATTAGAGTTAGGTTGATGGTTGGACTGGATGATCTTACAGGTCCCTTCCAACCCAGATAATTCTATGATTCTATTTACTATCATGTCCTGGAGGACAATCTGGAAGTCTCTTCTTCCAGTTGCCAGTTCCAGTGCCATGTAGAGCTCCATGTACCTTTTCTGGGATCAGCTATATAAAAATTCCTTTCAGCCAGGACTTGTTCCTCCCTTTCTTGGACATTCTTTTTGGAAGCTAGGGGCTCTGCTGCCAGAACATGCTCCTCTGGGCTGCCCTTTCCTCTTCTGAAGGGGTTGCAAGCCCTTCAGGAGCTGGTCAGGGTGTATTTCTCGTTTTGTTTTGTTTCCATGTCCATGAGCAATTGCTGGCTTTGTAAACTAATGTTTACAAGGGGTTCCCTGGAGATGTTCAAGGCCAGGCTGGATGGGGCTTGGAGCAACCTGGTCTGGTGGGAGGTGTCCCTGCCCAGGGCAGGGGGTGGAACTGGATGATCTTTAAGGTTCCTTCAAACCCAAACCATTCTATGATTGGCCTATGAAGAGCCTCTTCCCACTTCAGTTGTAGGAAAAATTCGGTTAACTTTGGAAGTAGGCTTGAGTTAAGCCTTGTGTATTACTTGTATCCTTATTTTCAGCAAGGATGATGGGATCAGGTAAAAACTGTTGGTGGTGTCGCTCCATTTCATTTCTGTCAGCTCTGACATTTGGGAAGAGACAGGAACAGTTCCATGGATTTTTTTTTCATTCTGGAGCCATCACTCCCAGCTTAGAGCAGTGGGAGGGGATGCAGTGGGTGGCACAGGAGAGTGGCAACGCTTTGCAATGGAAAGATTTAGCACAGAATAAAAGCTGATGATCTTTTATTTATTGACAACTAATTAATCAGTGTCCGTTCTGGAATAAAAAAGAATTTCTGAATAGGTATTTAACATTTCTTTAACTCATCGCAAGCAGCATCACTAAGCTCAGGGTGGGATGTTTGTAACGCTGCTCTGGAGTCTGCAGCAAATTGCTGGCATCCAATAGACTCAAGGACTGGCTTTTTTGACTTTTACACTTGTTTAAGTATTTCTAACATTTTTAATGACTTTATTATTATTATTATTCTACTGCTGAAAGTGTAATGATGATTAATTTCTGTTACTGGATATTAAATTCCGTTTAACCTCATTGAGCGGTTCATCAGAGAAGCTCAAGCTTAAGTTCTGTGAAGTTCAAGCGTGAAGCAGAAGTGAAGAATGAATCTATAGTGTCCTGTGTCCTCTTGAGTTACATATTTCCCTCACAGCTTCCCACATTCACGTTGGACACCAGCTTCCCAGCTCGATTTTTCCCAGGAATATCTGTACCTTGAACATTTCCAGAAGGTACAGCTGGTTCTTCGTGTGTTCTCCTGTGCGATGGTTGAAGGTGCAACATGTTGAGCTCCAGCCTTTACAACGTTCCTTCTGTTGGTTTAACACGTTTTGGATCCAGCTGATGGGGAGAAAAATATCAAATTGCCTGTATTTTAATGTGTTACGCAAGATTGACCGAAACCCAGCCTTGCAGTAATGGCAATACCAAGGACTGGGGTAAGGTTGTCTGATGATATTTTGATAGTAAATATAAATTATATAGCACCAGAGAGCTTGCTTGAATAGAAAGGAAAAAAAGATCAGAATGATTTTCTCAGCAAACAATTTTATGTTGATTTAAGATCTGTGAGTGCATCCACTTTAGAAAAGGGTAAGGAGTATTTAGCTACAATGAGCTAAAAACAAAGAAATGGAAAGACTGAAGTCATAATGGTTTTAAAGAGAAAGAGGGGAGATTTAGATTAGATCTTAAGAAGAAATTCTTTCTTTCTGTGAGGGTGGTAGGGTGGGGATGTGACAGGAACATATTTCCACAAACCCACTGCAAGACAACAGCCGGTTTGTGATGCTGTTCCACCAAAATACTGTTGCTGTGAGCTTTTTGTGTCTTTTTTTTTTCCCCTCCCTTTCTGTAAAGGTTTCTCTGGGACCAGCAATACTCCAAATTCTCAATTTCTGGGTATCATTTCATATTCTACAGAAGGTAGACCTGTGTAATCCTGCTGCTAGTGCTGCGAGTCAGCATTATCTCTGTGCCACTTCAGCTGGACCCATTTAGATTAGATCTTAAGAAGAAATTCTTTCTTTCTGTGAGGGTGGTAGGGTGGGGATGTGACAGGAACATATTTCCACAAACCCACTGCAAGACAACAGCCGGTTTGTGATGCTGTTCCACCAAAATACTGTTGCTGTGAGCTTTTTGTGTCTTTTTTTTTTCCCCTCCCTTTCTGTAAAGGTTTCTCTGGGACCAGCAATACTCCAAATTCTCAATTTCTGGGTATCATTTCATATTCTACAGAAGGTAGACCTGTGTAATCCTGCTGCTAGTGCTGCGAGTCAGCATTATCTCTGTGCCACTTCAGCTGGACCCACTTACCCCAGTGCCCTTGGCTGGATTGGGCAGTTCTGG